TCAAAATTCCCTCTGAAATATGCAAAACAGTAAAAGTCTATACTTTTTTCCAAAAAATCTGAATTTATTCACCTTGACCAATTTTTTGATATTGGAATTTTTCGTTTTCCCTTTTCTTCGATTTTGCAACTTTTTGATATCAGAACTTTCGTTTTTTCATTTTATTCCATTTTTCAGTTTTTCCATTTTTTACTTTTTCGGCTTCATAATTTTGTTTTTTCAGCTTTAATTTTTTCAATTTCTCAGTTTATTATTTTTCGAGTTTTCAATTTTTCCTTCCCTCGATTTTTCAAGTTCTTTATTTTTATTTTCCATTATATCACAATTTTTCGTTTTTTCGTTTTCTTTATTTTTTCAATATTGAATTGATGATCTCATGTTACAATTTTGTCGAATAAATGTTCTATAAATGTTAAAAAGTGGTCCTGAAATTGTGGCTTATGAATCTGTTTCGAATTTTTATCATTGACATCGAAATTTTTGGAAAAAAAATCAAACTTATAGATATATTTAACAATTTTTGGATTGTTCGATTTTTTTGGCTTTCGGATTTCTGTACTTTTCAACTTCAGAGTTCTAATTTTTCGATAGGTACGGGTATATCAGCGTTGAGGTTTTTAAAATTTTTTATTCTTCAGTTTCTCGATTTTTCGGTTTCTCAATTTTTAATTTTTCGATTTTTCAATTTTGCATTTCCTCAATTTTTCAAGTTCTTTTTTATTTTCCATTTTCTCGATTTTATATCACACTTTTTGGTTTTTTGATTTCTTTTATTTATTCAATGTTTCGTTCGTTTTTATAATTTCCCCTTAATTAAATTTTGTAAATTTTCAATCTTTTGATTGATTTGGATCCTCGATTTTCCGATTTTTAAATTTTTCAATTTTGCAATTTTTGAATTTCCATTTATCTGATTTTTCTGCACTTTTTCGATTTTTAAGTTTTTCAATTTTTCATTTCTTCAAGTTCTTGATTTCCAGTTTTTAGATTTTTCAAAGCTTTCATTTTGTATTTTTTGTTTTTTTTCACTTTTGATTTTTTAATGTTACAATATTACAAATTTTCCAGTTTTTGATTCGAAAAGTTGAAAAATTGAAAAATCGAAAGATTAAAAATTGGAAAATTGAATAAGTGAAAAAGTTTGAAATTCAATAATTGAAAAATGAAAAAATTCTAAAATCTTGAAATTGAAAAGGTAAAGAATTTAACAAAATATAATAATTATTAAATACATATTTAAAATGAAAACTAAAAAAATTACAAATTAAAAACCAAGAAACGAAAACTTAAAAAATTTTGAAGTTGGAAAATCGATAAATTGAAAAATCCAAAAACTGAAAATTTTCACCTTGAGAAAAATAAGAGTCAAAAAATCAGAACATTTAAAAACTGAAAAATTAAAGAACAAAAGAAAACAAAAAATCGAAACAAAACGTTGCAAATCGAAAAATTGAAAATATGAAAAATTAAAAAATCAAAAATTGAAAACTCGGAAAACTGCAATTCGAAAAATAACAATAAACGAAAAATAAAAAAAAATTGAAATTGAAAAATTTGAACTTGAAAAATCAAAACATAAAATCGTTAAAAAATCGAAAAGTTGTAAAAAAATATATAAAAACCGAAGCGAAAAATTGCAAGTCAAAAATTTGAAGAAATGAAAAATTGAAAAGTCGAATAAATAAAAAAGTTTTAAAATCCAGTAATTGAAAAATGAAAAAATTATAAAATCGTAAAATTAAAAAACTGCAGAAATTTAAAAATTATTATTAGTAGATAAATATTTAAAATGAAAACCAGAAAAGTTGCAAATCAAAAATCAAGAAACGCAAAATTAAAAAATTGAAAACGGAAAATTTACAAACCGATAAATTGAATAATTCAAAAACTGAAAAATTTCACATTGAAAAAATAAGAATTATAATATCAGAACATTGAAAAACTGAAAAAGGAAAAAATAAAAAAAAACAAATGAAAACAAAATGGAAAAATAAAAAAACGAAAAATAGAAAAATTGGAAATCGAAAAATAGCAAGAAACGAATAATTAAAAAAAATGTAAATGAAAAATTTGGACTTGAAAAATCATTATATAAAAAATCGGAACATTAAAAAATAGAAAAATTGTAAAAATAAAAAACATAAAAACAAAAAAAATAAAAACCCAAACGAAAATTGCAAGTCGAAAATTGGAAGAAATGAAAATTGACAAATTAAAAATCAAAGCAAAAAATTGAAAAATTAAAAATTGAAAACTCGTAAAACTGCAATTCGAGAATCTGCAAAATCTAAAAATGAAACATCTAAAAGCTGGAAAATCCAAAAATTGAAATATTTAAGAATGAAAAAGTGCAAATCGAAAAATAGCAACAAACAAAAAATTAAGAAAATTAAAATTGAAAAATTTGGACTTGAACAATCGAAACATTATAAAATCGGAACATTAAAAATCGAAAAATTGTAAGAATAAAAAAATAAAAAACCGAAACGAAAAATTGAAGAATTCAAGAATTGAAAAATTAAAAATGAAAAAATTGAAAAGTGGAATAAATGAAAAAGTTCTAAAATCCAATAACTGAAAAATGCAAAAATTCTAAAATCGTAAAATTAAAAAGCGAAAAATTTTTTAAATTATTTTAAAAATTAAGAAAATAATAAACCGAAACGAAAAATTGCAAATCTAAAATTTATAGAAATGAAAAATCGAAGAATCGAAAAATTGAAAAGTCGAATAAATGAAAAATTTTAAAATCCAATAATTGAAAAATCAAAAAATTCTAAAATCGTAAAATTGAAAAAATGTTGGAAGTTTTAAAAAATTTTATTATTGCAGTTTAACATGAAAGTTAGAAAAATTACAATTTAAAATTTAAGAAACGAAAAACTGAAAAATCAAAAAATTGAAAACCGGAATATTGAAGAATTGAAAATTGGAAATTCATGAAACTATAGATCGAAAAACTGCAACATCCAAAACTTGGAAAATCAAAAATTTGAAAACGAAAACTCAAAGAATTGCATATCGTAAGATTGAAGAACCAAAAATGAGAAATTGAAAAAACTGGCATTGAGAAAACAAAAAATTACAAAGTCGAAACATTAAATTCAAATAACTGAAAAAATAAGAAAATAAAAGACCGAAACGAAGAACCACAAATCGAAAAAATGGAAACTGAAGAACCGAGAAACTCAAACCAAAAAATTTTCCAAATCTCAAAGTTGAAAAATTCAAAATTTGTAAAATTGAAAAAGTAGAGAATTTTAAAAATCGTTGTTATTACATATTTAAAATGAAAGATAGACAAATTGATAATCAAAAATTATAGAAACGAAAAATGAAAAATTAAAATCTAACAGTTGAAAACTCGAAGAATTGCATGTCGAAAAATAAAAAGAAACGATAAATTAGAAAAATTGAAATTGAAAAATCAAAATGTTATAAATAACTAAAGAAAATAAACCGAATCGAAAAATTACAAGTCGAAAATTTGAAGAAATGAAAAACTGAGGAATCGAAAAATTGAAAAGGGGAATACTAGAAAAATTGCAAATCGAAAATTGAAAAAAACCAAAAATTCAAAAATTGAGAAAGCAAAAAATTGAAAAATCCAGAAATGGAAAAATTTCACGTTGAAAAAAGCAAAATTACACAATCAGAACATTGAAAAGTAGAAAATTTGTAAAATTGAACAAAACAATAAACCGAAACGAAAACTTTCTAATCAAAAATTTGAAGACATGAACAATCGAAAAATTGAAAAGTCAAATAAATGAAAAAAAAATAATATCTAATATGTAATTGAAAAAGAAAAAAATTCTAAAATCGTAAAATTGAAAAAGTGAAAACTTTAAGAAAAAATTATCTACTATCTACATATTTAACATGAAAGCTAGAAAAATTACAAATTAAAATTGAAGAAATGAAAATTTGAAAAAATAAAAATCCGAAACGAAAAACTGATAAATCGAAAAATAGAAAAATAAACAATTGAAAATTCATGAAATGGAAAAAACGAAAAATCAAAATGGGAAATTTTCATATTGAAAAAAAGAAAAAAAATTAAAATCAGAATATTGAAATATCGAAAATTTAAAGAAATGAAAAATTGAAAAGTCGAGTAAATGAAATAGTTTTAAAATCCAATAGTTAAAAAATGCTGGACTTTTCCATTTAAATGAAAAATTTTAGAACCCAATAATTGAAAAATGGAAAAATTCTAAAATCGCGAAACTGAAAAAGTGAAAGCTTAAAATTTTTTTTTACAACACATAGGTATTTAACATGAAAACTAGAAAAAAAAATTGAAATTGGAGAAACGAAAAACTGAAAAAGTAAAAAAAGTAAATAAATAAAAATCCGAAACTAAATATTTTAAAATGAAAACTCGAAGAGTAATTGAAAACTCAAAAATACCAAGAAACGAAACATTGAAAAAATTGAAATTGATAAAACAAAAAATTACAAAATCGAAAAAAATTCAAAAATTCAAAAGTTATAAACTTGAAAAATTGAAAAATTTAAACTTGAAAGCTCGATAAATTGGAACTCAAAAAACTGAAGAAACAAAAAAAAATGAAAAATTAAACAACTGAAAAATTCAAGTCAAAAAAGCGGTTAATCGCGAACAATTTTTGTATTTTTTCAAAGAAGCGGGATTTGTTTGGTTGCACTTCAAGGGCGAGCGAAATTCTCTGGAAATAACCTTCCACCAATTTTTGTGTTTATTCTGTTGTAATCATTAATTTATAATGTAGAAAATGTATTTCAATGTACCTAAAAGTTTGTTCTAAAATCGAAGATATTTTTTGCCACAATGCACATTCAAACTCGGAACAATACATGTTATCGTTACCATTAATGGAACTTTGAAAGGGAAATCGGTAAAAAACAACTCCTATGGTCCCACTTGGGACGCAGAATCCTACCCGTAAACATCGCTTTCTCATCCTCTATTTATAGAGCGTTTTCCACTCTTTCCTTATAGTTGCTTATTGTTTCAGGCTGAAGAACTTAACTCAATTGTAGGAAATGCATTTCGGATGGCTTACGCGGCGCAGCTGCAGAAACAACCCACTTTCCAAGACGTAATTGCATCCCAATTGGATCAAACTCAAACGAATAAAGTACTCTGGGTAAGAGTTTTTAACTGAGCTCCAGTGTTACAAATTTAGCCCCACGGGACCTCCAAATGTGTTCAGGCTTCAGTAAATTCTTTTCAACTTGATTTAAAAGTTTGCTGCGAATAATTTGTTAGCTGCATGGTTTGGAACTGGATACTTTTAAATCTGGAACAGATTCATAGTTGCAAAAATGTTATTTAGTCCAAAGTTTAGAGTAAACTTTAAAAATGGAAATTTAAAACGAGTTGTTTCGCTGTGCTTCACGCTAAGCTGAACAAACGTCGTTAGTTTTAGATGCAAGTCATAAAAAAATTTAAATAAAATCGCATTGTCACAAATAATGAAGTTAATAATAGTTGTGTAGATTTACGACTATACTTTGGTCTTTATGTCAGTGTGGGTGGTCTTCAGGGGTAAAGAACTTGGATTGAGTTTACTGACAACATATGGATACAATTCAGGTTAAATTTATCTTAAAAAAAAACAGTGCCAATTGTTAATCAGTTGACATAACAAAATTTATTGTTTATTCGTCCTATTTAGTATTGTTTAGAAATAACAATGGTAAATCACATCGTGACTTAATTTGTTGTTATTATTACTGTACAAGCATTCACGTACGTTTATTCACACGACTTAAGTATCAGAATTTTCGTTACTTATTTGCTAAAGTATGACGTAATTCAATTTTTGGTGGGGATGTACAGACAAATTCCTATGTTTTCATAAAGATTTATTTGTGTAAAGTTTATAAAATTTTTTAAGACACTGCTGGACTAAATTTTACAAAATAACATGTGTAGTTTATGAATCCGTGTTGAGGTTTTACCCGATTTTTGTAAAAAAAAAATCAAAATTGTGCTTTTACTTTAAAACTGCAAAAGGGAATGCTCTAGAAATTTACAAACGTTTAGACGATGAATACATTAAAAAAAAACACGGAAATTAAAATTAATAAAAATTGTAAATCGAAAAATTGTAAAATCCGAAAATTAAAAATTAAATTTTTGAAAGCTCGAAAAATTGACAAAACAAAAAATCGAATGATTGAAAATATGAAAAATCGAGAAACGGAGATATCTTTAAATTGAGAAAATGAAAAATTAAAATCTCTGAAAATTGACGAAAAATCGTGAAATCAAAAAATTGAAGATATGGAACTAAAAATTCAAAAATTTGAAAAATTAAAAATATAAATATTGAAATATAAAAAAAAATGAAAACTTAAAAAATTGAGAAAACGCAAACTTAAAATAAGTAAAAATTGAAAATTCGAAAAATTTAAAATTTCAAACGTTCTAAAATGGAAAACGCGAACAATTCAGGATACAAAATATATACATAAATCCAAAAATAAAAACAAAAATCGAGAAACTGTACCTCTCAAACGAAAAATTGTAAAATGAAAAATTTGCAAATTCGAAAATTAATTTTAAAAACTGAATAACGGAAAAATTAAAAAAAAAGAAAAATCCGAAAACCGAAAACTTAAAAAAATTGTAGAATCATAAAATTAAAGAAACGCAACATTAAAAATTTTGAATATTGAAAAGATGAAAAATCGAAAAATTAAGGAGACCAAAATCTGAAATTAAAAATCGAGAAATCGAAAAATTGAAAAAGTGAATAATTAATAATCCAAAAATTGAAAAATGGAAAAATGAACATTAAAATCGAAACGTTCAAAAAACCAGAAATTAATACATAGGTATATCCAACTGAAAAATCAAAAAATTGTAAAAGAAAAAAAAATTGCAAATCGTAAAATTGCAAAATCGTGAAATTGAAAATGCAAGTATTGAAATATCAAAAAAATTTATTTTGAAAACTTAAAATAAGTAAAAATTGAAAAATCCAAAAATTGCAAAATTGTAAAATAAAAGAAAAGGAAAATTCAAAATTCGAAAGATTTAAAAATTCAAACGTTCTAAAATGGAGAACTCGGAAAACTGAACCTCCCAAACGAAGAATTGAAAAAGCGAAAAATACAAGTTTCTAAAAATTGAAAATTGTAAAATCAAAAATTTGTTAAATTTAAACATTGAAAAATCGGGAACCCGAAATATTAAATAATTAAAATTAAAAAATTTAAAATCCAAGTGTTGAAAAATAAAAAAACGGCATTATTCACAAATTGAAAAATTGAGAAATCCTAAAACTGAAAAATCGAAAAATTCCGGAATCGTAAAATTAAAGAAACGCAAAATTCAAAAATGGAAAAATTAAAATTTGAAAACTCGAAAATTGACGAAACTAAAAATGAAAAATCGAGAAAACGAAAGATCTTTACATTAAAAAAACTGAAATTAATATTAATAAAAATTGTAAATCGAAAAATTGACGAAACGAAAAATCGAATATGTAACCGAAAATTGAAAAATCGAGAAACAGAAATATCGTTAGATTGAGAAAACGAAAAATTAAAATCTTTGAAAATTGACAAAGCGAAAAATCAAAAAATTGAAGATATGGAACTAAAAAATTCAAAAATTTGAAAAATTAAAAATTTAAATATAGAAATATTAAAAAAAATTGAAAACTTGAAAAATTGAGAAAACGTAAACTTCATTAAAATAAGTAAAAATTGAAAATTCGAGAAATTTAAAATTTCAAATGTTCTAAAATGGAAAACGCTAAAAATTCAGGAAACAAAAATTGATTAATCGAAAAAACAAAAATCGAGAAACTGAACGTCACAAACGAAAAATTGTAAAATGAAAAATTTGCAAATCGAAAAATTGTAAATTTTAAATATTTGTGAACGAAAATCTTGAAAAATTGAGAAATCCGAAAACGAATGAAACGCAATATTAAAAAATTTGGAATATTGAAAAGATGATAAATCGGAAAATTAGAAAATTTCAATTTGAAATCTTGAAAAATTGAGGGGACCAAAAACAGAATAATCAATCCAAAAATTAAAAATCGAGAAACTGAACCTCCCAAAAACGAAAAATTGAAAAAAAGAAAAATACAAATTTCTAAAAATTGAAAAATTAAAATAAAAATCTTAAAACTCCTAGTATTCAAGAATAAAAAAACAGCATTATACAAAAATTGAAAAATCGAAAAATTGGGAAATCATAAAATTAAAGAAACGCAACATTAAAAAATTTGGAACATTCAAAATATCGAAAAATTTAAAAATTGAAACGTTTTAAAGTAGAAAGTTCGAAAAACTGAACCTCCCAAAGGAAATATCGAAAAAGGGAAAAATACAAATTTCTATAAATTGAAAATAGTAAAATTTAAACATTGAAAATCGGGAACCCGAAATATTGAATAATTAAAATTAAAAAATTTAAAATCCAAGTATTGAAAAATAAAAAAACGGCATTATTCAAAAAATTTAAAATTGAGAAATCGGAAAATTGCGGAATCGTAAAATTAAAGAAACGCAAAATTCAAAAATCGAAAAATTCAAGAAACAAAAACCGATTATTCGAAAAAACAAAAATCGAAAAACTAAATCTCCCAAACGAAAAAACATTGAATAAACAAAAAAATTGAAAAATTGTAGAATCGTAAAATTAAAGAAACATTAAAAAATTTGGAATATTCTAAAGATGAAAAATCGGAAATCGAATTAAAAAATTTGAAAACTCGAAAAATTGAGCAAACGTAAACTTAAAATAAGTAAAAATTGAAAAATTGAAAATTGCAAAATTGTGAAAAAAAAATTAAAATTCGAAAAATTTAAAAATTCCAACGTTCTAAAATGGAAAATTCGGAAAATTGAGGAAACAAAGATTGAGTAAATAATCGAAAAACTGAACCTCCCAAACGAAAAATAGAAATTTCTAAAAATTGAAAAATTGGGACCCCGAAAAACTGAAAAATTAAAATTAAAAAATTAAAATTTCAGTATTGGAAAGTAGGCATTAATCAAAAACTGAAAAATTGAGAAATCCAAAAACTGAAAAATCGAAAAATTGCGGAATCGTAAAATTAAAGAAACGCAAAATTCAGGAATCGAAAATTAAAATTTGAAAACTCGAAAACTGACGAAACGAAAGACTGAATAAACGAGAAAACGAAAGATCGATCCGTTAAAACAAAGACCGAAATTAATATTAACAAAAATTGTAAATCGAAAAATTGCAAAATCGTCAAATTCAAAAATCGATAAATTCAAAATTAAATTTTTAAAGCTCGAAAAATTGAAACGAAAAATCGATTAATTAAAAATATGAAAAATCTAGAAACGGAAATAAATCGTTGAATTGTAAAAACGAAAAATTAATATCTCTGAAAATTAACAAAGCGAAAAATCGTAAATTCAAGAAATTGAAGATACGGAACAATCGAAGAACTAGAAAATCGAAAATTTGAAAACTTGAAAAATTGAGAAAACGTAAGGTTAAAATAAATTAAAATTGAAAATTCGAGAACTTTTCAAACGTTCTAAAATGGAAAACTCCAAAAATTCAGGAAACAAAAACTGATTAATCGAAAAAACAAAAATCGAGAAACTAAATCTCCCAACCGAAAAATTATAAAACGATAAATTTGCAGATCGAAGAATTGTAAAATTTAAAAATTGAACCAACAAAAGAATTGAAAAATTGTAGAATCATAAAATTAAAGAAACATTAAAAACCTTGGAATATTCAAAAGATGAAAAATCGGAAATCGAATTAAAAAATTTGGAAACTTGAAAAATTGAGCAAACGTAAACTTAAAATAAGTAAAAATTGAAAAATCGAAAAATTGCAAAATTGTAAATAAAGAAAAAGTCAAAATTCGAAAAATTTTAAAATTTCAACGGAAAACTCGAAAAATTGAGGAAATTGAGGAAACAAAAATTAAGTAAATAATCGAAAAACTAAACCTCCCAAACGAAAAATACAAATTTCGAAGGATTGAAAAATTGAAAAACTGGGAATCGGAAAAACTGAAAAATCGAAAAATTGCGGAATCGTAAAATTAAAAAAACGCAACATTAAAAAATTTGGAACATTTAAAAGATGAAAAATCTAAAAATTAATAAATTTCAATTTGAAAACTTGAGAATTGAGGAAACGAAAAACTGAATAATTGAGAAACGGAAAAATCGAAACGTTCAGAAAACCAGAAATTAAAACATCAAAAAAAAAATTATAGTGTACAATTGTAAAAGAATTGAAGAAACGACAAATTCAAATATCAAAAAATTAAAACTAAATTTTTTGAAAACTGAACAAATTGACGAAACGAAAAATCGAATCATCAGAAAGTGAATAAATAATATAGAAACAGAAACATCTTTAATCTAATCTTAAAATTGACAAAGCGAAAAATCGTATGACCAAAAAATTGAAGAAATCGAAAATTTGAAAAATTTGATAAATTGGGAAAACGTAAAATTAAAATAAGTGGAGACTGAGTAATCGAAAATTTGCGAAAAAATTAAATTAAAAAGGAAAATTTCAAAAATTTATCTTTGAAAAAGTTGAGAAAACAGACTGTGTACAATTGAAATACCTAATAAATTGAGAAATCTAAAAATTGAAAAATCGAAAAATTGCAAAATCGTAAAATTAGAGAACGAAGATGTAATGCAAAATTTGGAAAACTCAAAAATTAAAAATCGAACAACTAAAAAAACGAAAAATGGCAAAGCGTATAATAAAAACAAGGAAAAAATTTAAAAATCGATTTGAAAAATTGAACAATGGCAAATATAAAAATAGAAAAATCGAAAAATGGCCAAACCTCAGAATTGAAGAAACACGAATAAATCCTATCTAAAATAAGCACGATATTATAACTCCATACTTGTGGTTTATCAGTGCACCCAGTTTTATAATTGCTTATACAGGGTGATCTAAAAAAAATAATGAATGAGCTAATTGATTTTATTGCTCAAATCAAGAACGGTTCACCTCATTTCCGTGAAAATTCTATAACTTCAGGCAATTTTTTTATAAAACCTGAACGTGTTCGTTGCACTCGTAGAATTAAAAAAAAACGAATAAGTAAAAAATTGAAAAACTAAATATTTCAAGATGCAAAAATTGCATACCGAAAAATGAGAACTCATAGATTTTTTTTTATCGAAATCGTTTTAAAAAAATCTAACCTGACCGAAGCTGACTTGACCCTCTATGACCCAACAAGTGAGTGTGACGAACTACTGTATAATTTCTTTAGACTGATTTAGACTTAATTTTTCCAATGGCCTGTTGCTATTTATAAGCTACCATTACTTCTGTAACCATCAAAATGAGAAACCTTCACGCCCGCTTTAACTCCGTTTTCTCCACCACCGAAACCTCATCCCTCCCAAACCCATGTTTATTTGTCGAATGCTCCCAAAAACAAACCTAAAATGATAATCGTGTAGCTTAAAAACGAATAAACCCCACGCCGCATCCCGCGCTTTCTATCTCTCAACTCGCCCATTAAATCCGCCCCAACTTTGAATGCGTCAACATTTGTTTCAGACGAAAGAATTATCGGTCACGTTAAAGAAAGACAAATCGGCGCAGCCCCCCAACAACCACCAGCCCGCCGACATGGACGTGGAGCTGACGAACAGCGACGCGTCGACGTTGCGGCTCGCGCCGCCCACCACCATCCCGGGCCTCAAGCCGTCCCACAAGTACAACGTGCTGGGGCCCTCGGAGAAGCCGCAGTCCCAGCAGAGCACACCCAGCAGCGACGAGAGCAACTCGCCCACCGAGATGAACTCGTACAAGCGGATGACGGAGAAGCCGCCCCTGATCAAGCGGATCGCCATGGGCTTGACGGGCAACCACCACGACAACGACGACGACAGCTGCCCTCTGGTCAGCGACAGCAACAGCACTCCGGGGAGTCCCACGAACCGCCCGCTCTCGGGAGGGTACGTCAACGAGTCGAACGACGCCGATAGCCGCAACTTGAACAAAACGAACGCGATGGACAGTTTGAAGAACGAGATCGTGGAGAATATCAATTCCAACTTAACGAAGCATATAGAGATAGATAACAGCCGGCTGCTGCAGAATTCACCGGCCTCTGCCGAGCAGGAGTTCAAATCGAAGAGGATATCGCAGATCAGCTCGAGCAGTTCTAGTTCGTGTCCGCAGACCGGTATGGAGACTGTTTTATGTTTCATATGTTAATTGGGTACAAGAGATTCTGGTTATATTTCTGATCATGTGTTGTTTAATCCGTCATTATAAATAGATTGAATCGACGTTTGCTTGTCTGTACAGAATATGCTCATTTAATGTTTCTAAACAAGAAATTGACGTATTACGAACGAATTGTTTTGACATCATAATAGATACATTTACACCGTGATGTATTGTGGGTTGTCAAACTAACTTAACTTTGCAGCACACTACTACATATACAGGATTGATAAAAAGTATGGAAGCAGTAGAATATATCGGAAACGATATATGTAGAAGAAAAGTGAGGCATTCAAGTTGATTACTATAAAAATTTTCCATGTTTTAAGTTTCTTGTTGTCGAAAAAATTCTACACATATTGAAACAAAGAGGCAAAATGTCAGCCCGCCCACCCGCCCTATCTCAATTGTGATTTTTTTAACTGCAAAATCCTTATTTCTCTACGAGAATTTAAAAACATGTTTTTGCGTATCGTCTTATTCAAAAAATACTTTCTATCTTAAGAAAAAAATTAAATAAAAAATTAGGCCTCACCCATACCTGCCCCGACGACTTACGACGTGTGAAAAAAATCAGCACGATTGAGATAGGGTGGGTGGGCGGGGCAGACATGTTGCCTTTTTTTCTTAGTGTACGTAGTCATCTGTTTTAAGTTTTTGTTGTGAAAAGATGACTACGTATATTAAAAAAAGCGGCAAAATGTAAAATAAATTATTAAACAAAAATGAAATAAATTAATAATTCTTAACTCTCCATTTACTTCCTGGCAGTAAAAAAGACGCTGAATAAAATTTTGTAGTGAGTTAATGAAAATTTTTGGACGAATGGTGGCAATTTCCCACCCATACTCGCCCCGATCTCAATTCTCAATTGTGATGAATTTTTTATTCGTTGGCAGACCTAGGGGCGGAGTCTAATTACAAAAACCATTCTTCTTTACAAAAATTTACCATTTTAAACGTGTTTTAAGTTTCTCTGAATAAAAAAAATCATCACAATAGGGATGGGGTGGGTGGGCGGGTTTTATATTTTACCCTTTGTTTCTTAATATACATAGTATTCTTTGAACAACACAATACTCAAAAACATGTTGTTAATTTCTTGGAAAGAAATAAGTATTTTGCAGTTAAGTTTTGCCCTCTTAGTTCACAGCGAATGAAAAAAAATCGTCACAATTGAGATAGGGCGGGTGGGCGGGCTTACATTTTGCCTTTTTGTTTTAATGTGTGCAGACTTTTTTTCACTTTATGAAACTTAAAACATGTTTAAAATGGAAAATTTGTATAAGAAAATATTGATTTTGCAATTAGGCTGCGTCCCACAATTGCAAAATCCCGATTTCCTTGCCAAAATGTACCGTTTTAATCATATTCTAACTTTTTTGTTGTGAAAAGATGGCTATGTATATTAAGAAGAATAGGCAAAATATAAGCCCCACCCACCCGCCCTATTTCAATTCTGATGATTTTTTTATATTCGTCGTGAGCCAAGGGGGTGGAGCCTAACTGCAAAATCCTTATTGCTCTACGAGAAATTAAAAACCTGTTTTTGAGTTCGTGTTCAAATAATACTATGTCTATTAAGAAAACAATAAAGCCAAAGATTGGACCCCACCCATAGCCACCCCGATCTCAATTCTCAATTGTGATGAATTTTCCATTCGTTGGCAGACCTAGGGGCGGAGTCTAATTGCAAAAACCATTCTTCTTTACAAAATTTTACCATTTTAAACGTGTTTTAAGTTTCTATGAATAAAAAAAAATCATCACAATAGAGGTGGGGTGGGTGGGCGGGGTTTATATTTTGCCCTTTTTTCTTAATATACATAGTATTCTTTGAACAACACGATACTCAAAAACATGTTGTTAATTTCTTGTAAAGAAATAAGTATTTTGTAGTTAAGTTCCGGTGCCTTGATTCACAGCGAATAAAAAAAAAATCATCACAATTGAGATAGGGCGGGTGGGCGGGCTTACATATTGCCTTTTTTTTCTTAATATATATACGTAGTCGTTTGCTTTAAGTTTCTGTTGTGAAAATATGACTACGTATATGAAGAAAAAAAGGCAACATGTATTTTTGATTGTTTGATTCGTCGTAAACCAAGACAATTTCTCGTAGAAAAACAAGGATTTTGCAATTAAGCTCCGCCCGACGACTTACGACGTGTGAAAAAAATCAGCACGATTGAGATAGGGTGGGTGGGCGGGGCAGACATGTTGCCTTGTTTTCTTAGTATACGTAGTCATCTGTTTTAAGTTTTTGTTGTGAAAAGATGACTACGTATATTAAAAAAGGAGACAAAATGTAAGCCCCGCCCACCCACCCGACTACCATTGTGATGATTTTTGTTATTCATTGTGAGCCAAGAGGGCGGAGTATACTTAATTAATGCATTTTTAATAGTTTTTTTTTAAGAATTCATTGATTCGTACTTTCTTTCTAATTGAAAGGTAAAACAAATTATTAAACAAAAATGAAATAAACTAATAATTCTTAACTCTCCATTTACTTCCTGGCAGTAAAGAAGACGCTGAATAAAATTTTGTAGTGAGTTAATGAAAATTTCTGGACGAATGGTAGCAATTTCGTTACGTTAGACCCCACCCATACTCGCCCCGATCTCAATTCTCAGTTGTGATGAACTTTTTATTCGTTGGCAGACCAAGGGGCGGAGTCTAATTGCAAAAACCATATTTCTTTGCAAAAATTTACTATTTTAAACCTGTTTTTAGTTTCTATGAATAAAAAAAATCTACACAATAGATGTGGGGTGGGTGGGCGGGGTTTATATTTTGTCTTTTTTTTTCTTAATATACATGGTATTCTTTGAACAACACGATACCCAAAAACATCTGTTTAACTTCTTGTAAAGAAATAAGTATTTTGCAGTTAAGCTCTGCCCCCTGTTTGGTTCACGGCGAATAAAAAAAATCATCACAATCGAGGTAGGGCGGGTGGGCGGGCTTATATTTTGCCGTTTTGTTTTAATGTGTAGACTTTTTTCACAATATGAAACTTAGAAGATGTTTAAAATGGAAAATTTGTATAAGAAAATTTCCATTTTAACGATATTCTAACTTTTTTGTTGTGAAAAGATGGCTATGTATATTAACAAAAAAAGCAAAATATAAGCCCAAATTTCAACAAGATTCAACAAACCGTTTTCGCGATATTCAACTGCTTCCATACTTTTTAGCAACCCTGTATATTCATATTTTTTTTTATAATTGTTAAAATCATTGTTAACTAAGAGGACACTACAATGAGAATAATTCCTTTCTATTAATTACTCCCGATTCTGCGGTTACAAAGAAACAAACATGCAACTCTTCACTTTATCTATTCAACTTTCCCAGCTCGAACTTCATCAATTTCTGTAATTCTCTAGATTCCCCGACTTTCTTTTATAGTTATTCCTGTTGATCCCTCCATCTCAAAGACAAATGTTATTACCCATTTTCCCACATTTCGTCAGAAAACTCAGTCAGACTTCATCATCTAAAATGCACACTTTTAAAATTCGGAGGTTTAGCTTAAAACGTCGCCGTGAGTGATTCGAAAAATTCCCTAAAAGTTCCGGGATAGTTTTAAGGGGTCGGACTCGTGTCAGTTCCGTTCCCAAAACTTCAATCCGTTCGTTTTATGGGCAACGGCCGACCCTCGTTTCCCCATTCTCGACTACATTCATTAGATTTCAGCCAGTAAATGGCGGTATATAATTTCAGTTTCGAGGGCGGGAACCCTCAGTCTGTATCGATGTACTTTGTTCCTAGATTTTTTGTTTCATCACCTTTTTCTTCGCATTTTTATTCACATGAATCAGTTCTGTTCATCAGGAATACAATTCTCATTTATTTTTTGTTATCTTTGGGCAATTTTTTTAATAATCAATTTCTTCTACCATTATTTCTTTCTTTTATGACCATACTTCATCCACTATAGCATCTACGTACACATCTCACAAAAATTGAAGCTCCGCTGGGTCATTGACCCAATTATTTCTTTCTTCTGAAGGTGATACTATAAAAATATTTCCTTTCAGTTGAACTAATACATGATAATGGGAGAAAAAAAGAACAACCAAGAACTTTCAAGGATGGTATATTTCACGCATTCAAGTTCATTCTTTTTTAAACCTACGACCCTCTTCTAGAGAATTATCGGACCAATATTTGTCAACCGTTAAAAAATATGCCGTTTGATATCCCTTTTACAATGAATGACTGTTTCTAAAATTTCTCTTCTTATTGCATTAGGGTCCATTTGGCGAGCGACTGATTTCATATTTTCTCCTAGAATGCGAAAAAGTAAGTCTCCTGTTTCCGTATGTCTGTCGCCTGTCAGACACTAAGCAAAATTTGTTGTGTATCCCCTCAAAAAATGCGATGACGTCACCTCAAAATTTTGCTGCATTTTTGCAAAAAATAATATGCCTCAGTAGTTTAGGTTCATTAATCCACCCGTATTGTTTATTTTAAGTGGTGTATCTGGTTTCAGAGGCGAGGGAGGTTCTGTCTAAATAGTTTTAAGCCTTTTTTCAAACTAGTAAGATTTTCTTTGAAAACTTTGAAATATTTGATAACTTTTTATCAAACAATGTTTTATTAACAGATGTTTCTACTTTCGTGAATATTTGTTTTGTTTCTGCGAAGTGGCAAGTACAATATAAAAATGTGTCAAGTGTGCTTTGGAATTTATTAACACAATAGTCGGCGTGGTATCATTATTTTTGACTGAGGTCATTTAAATCTATCAATTTGGCGGTACGTTTGACACAGAATGAGTTATCATTGACTTTAATTTACATAACCTCAAAATATAAATGTAACACTTTTTAGAAAAAAATGACCGAAATCGTCAATACTGGCAATACAATTAAAAAAGCAAACAATTCCAAAGCACACCTGACAAGTTTTTTTCGATGATATGGTATTATCCATTCACAATATTTTTTGCAGAGAGGTAACAGGTCGATTTATAAGCTTGTCGCTGACGTTGCTGTTCGTCGTTGAAGTTGCCGTTGACGTTGGGTTTTCAACCAATCAAATTGATCAAATTTTGACAGAGATAATGAGGTCCAATAATATAAAGCTATTTAATCACCTGTTCACCGAAACCCTCATATTTTAAATAGCTGCCATAATTTTGTACACTGTAGCTTTCTCTAAGTACTTATGCACTGTTAAAGGCAGTTCCCGACGTTTAAATCAACAAAATTTATTGCTATTCGACTCAAAAAAAAAACAGATTAGGTATTAGGTGTTTTCACAACAAGAAAGATAAAACATATTTAAAATGGTAAATTTGTATAGGGAAATATCGATTTTGCAATTACGCTCCGCCCCACGATCTGACAACGAATGAAAAATTCATCACGACTGAGATCGAGACGGATGGGTGGGGCTTCTTGTGGCGGCACAATAATAACTGGGTAAGCGACGTAAAGATAAGCCGCTCTGTAGCCTAGTGGTCCAGGCACCCGCCCGGCAAGTGGGAGATGTGTGGTTCGATTCCCACCGGGGCAGCAAACATTTTCCTTCGCTTACCCAAACTTCTCTTTTAGTTTTCTTTGTACAGGATTACTTAAGAACATATTTCACATGGTCATTTCTGGTAGAAAAATAAGGATTTTACAATTAAGCTTTGTCCCTCGGTTTACGACGAATAAAAAAATCATCAGAATTGAGACAGGGTGGGTGGGCGGGGCTTACATTGTACCTTTTCTTTTTTTAATATACATAGCCATCTTTTCACAACAAGAAACTTGGAACATGGTTAAAATGGTACATTTTTACAAGAAAATATGGATTTTGCAATTGTGGAGCGGAGCCTCATCAATTCGATATTTCCTTATACAAATTTTCCATTTTAAACATGTGTTAAGTTTCATGTTGTGAAAAGAAGTCTACACATATTAAAACAAACAGGCAAAATGTAAGCCCGCCCACCCGCCCTATCTCAATTGTGATGATTTTTTTTATTCACTGTGAACCAATGGGGCAGAGATTAACTGCAAAACACTTATTTATTTTCAAGAAGTTAAAAACATGTTTTTGAGTATCGTGTTGATCAAAGAATATTATGTATATTAAGAAAAAAAGGCAAAATATATACCCCACCCACCCACCCTGTCTCGATTGTGATGATTTTTTGTCTGCTTAGTAACTTGAAACTTGTTTAAAATAGTAATTTTTTGTAACAAAGTATGGATTTTGCAATTAGGCCCCGCCCCTAAGTTTGTCAACAAATGAAAATTCTTAATCTTTGCTTTTAATTTTTTCTTAATATACGTAGTCGTCTTTTCAGAAGAAGAAACTTAAAACATGTTTAAAATGGTAAATTCTTGTAGGCAAATATGGATCTTGCAATTAATCCCCGCCCCTCGATCTGACAGCGAATGAAAAATTCATCACTGTTGAGAATTGAGATCGAGGCGGGTATGGGTGGGGCCTAATTTTTGGCAACGGGAACTTCAACGTCAACAGCAAGTTTATAAATCCTACTGTAGCCATGAAAATCAGGAAGTGTTGTTAAATCTTCCGAAAAATACAGAGTTGCCAACGCACTTTAAAGTTAAAAAAAGCATTTGCAACCAACAATACTTGGAAAAAATTGAAAGCTTGTACTGTATAATTTTTTAAACTGGACATACGAGGAAGTTCTGGAAACAAAATATCCGAACGCTTTAGGGGGTGGTTTAATTAGTTTAACCTCAATTAGTGTCAGTGACAGTGAAATTTGTATAAAAAATTATTAAACTACGCTTTACGTTGATTTGTTTACAAATTACTATAACTCGGTATTTTTTATGCTTTAAAGAAAAAATAAATAAATTGCTAACGTTTTCAGTATACTAGGTGTCCAGGATGGATTAATAAAACATATACGTTTTTCGTAATGTTATTTTCTATCAAGAAAACGAGGCAACTTGGTGACTTTTTCAATTGAACAGCTATTAATTATTATCTACTACATCTACATTTGACGATAATGGAACGAACTTCTTTATCTTTTAACTATATATTATAAAGTCCAGAGCATTTTTGTCTGTCCACTCTCCAAAAAATTGCTGGGTGTAAGAAGTGAACAAGTATTGAAATTACTTACTTAAATTAATTACGCCACAGTCCATCAGCAATTTCAACCAACAAAGAATTTACATGATGTTAAATTATGCCACACTTTATCAATAATTTCAAGCAACAAAGAAGTTACACGATGTTCATGTGTTATTTCAAATTATTGTTTAAATCAAAATGCGTCCACCCACTACCTCGGAAATGTTCGGCGTACTTCGAGAACGCAATCTCGGGAAACGCTGGACGTACTTCGAGAATAAATGTTCAAATTCAAGCCGCAAGAAAAGTATTAAACTTATAAGAAATTTTCAAGCTTGTTTCTTTCAAAATGGAAAAAATTGTATTAGAACCAGAAACCAGTGTAACCAAGTGGACACACAGAAATGACCTGGATTTTTCTACATCATCGAGGAAAATAGTTGTCTAGCAAGCTTTGAAATTTAATGTTTGCAACACCGCGCGTTCGTTATTCGTGTTAATCAGCTTGACATTTACGGTAAAATAACTGCAATGCCGACGTCATTATTTAAAAAATAAATGTCATAACTTACTCGACACTTTTTTTAACCATACGGTATTGTATTATTTATTATAAAGTGTCAACTCGTTCGCACCACAGTGCATTACCCTACTTCCTGTAGGCACAATTTATACCACGACCAGCATAAATCACACCTCGTGGACATATTTTATAATCAAGTTTACCCACTCTTAAAATATGTACAATAAACATGTCACAGTACTCAAACACAAATTACTTTACCAGGGTTAACACCAACGCCCCCTCCCCTACCCGAGCGAACCGATTCTTTGAACAACAAAGAAGAAGGCGAGCTGAGGACGGCTCCGTGGTTTCAGGCGGGAATTCCCCGTGAAATTGCCTTGGAAATACTGGCTCAAGAGCCGGTGGGAGCTTTCATGGTGCGAGAAAGCACCAGTAAGCCGGGATGTTTCGCGCTTTCGCTCAGAGTACCGAGGAGCTTCCAGCCCACGGGCATCGCACATTACCTCATTGTCAGGACGAATAAAGGCTACAAAATCAAGGTGGGTGCATTTCTCGTTTTTCTCTCAGCTTTCCGCTAGAAAATTTATTTAAACTGGTCTTTAGTTATATCGACCACACTTGTTCCACACCAAAACCCGCAAATCCGGGATTGCCGGAAGTTTTAAATTACCGGTGTCTGTGTAAAGAGTCGCAGATAAAGGAAGATAAAACAAACTTAGTTGCCGAATTCTTTTGTTATCTGGAGCTGCTAGATAATGCTGGAAGAGATAATTTTTTCTACTAAATCGTCGACTTACGCTTTAAAAGAGGAGGGTTTTCATCAAGGAGATCTTTTTAATTAACGGCACGTTTGAAAACAGTTGTAACTTTTCGTATTGTCTTATTAACTTGTGATTATCGTCAGTGGTGTTTCATATAATGAACTAATCAATCTCTTCTGACTGGTGAAGCGGACACATTAATTACGAAGTTCTTTAAAACACAAGAAATATAATTCTGTGCTAACTGGCTTATTAGTCTTGAAATGCGGAAACGCTGTTTCTTTTCTTCGCTCCGTGGTGTGACAGAACGTAAGTAATGTTGGCGGTGGTCGCGTTAAACAGAGTAACGCTTTCAGAATTGTTTTCTTTCATGTTAATGTGATTCTTGTTGTTTCAGGGCTTTACAAAAGAGTTTACCACGCTAACTTCTCTGATAACCCATCATTCTGTGATGCCCGAGCTGCTGCCGTGTCCTCTGTCCCTCAGCCGGTACAACCCCAGTTTCGTGAAGTCGGACTCGAAGAGAGATTTCGCAGATATCGATTTGGACCCAGACTATAACACCTTAGCCGATTTCCGAAAAATGATGGCCGATTTGAACGTTTAAACCAAAAGTGTCATAGTGACAGTGAACTAGTCTTAAAAATGTGAATAAAGTAAGACGCAGTTTTGTGTACCTTGTGATACCTTGAAGAAAAAGGAAGTAACAATTAACAAAGTGTTTCCACGATTTATTGCTGTAGTGTACTTAACTATCAAATTAACTGACTTGTTTTTTCCCTTCTTTCTCTGTCTCAAGCGAAATTTATGGTTTATTTTCGATTATATAATCTATGTTGTTTGCAGACAAAAGTTGCTTACTGCTGGTAGTGGAGATTTACTTTGCTTAAGAATTTTGTCAGTGATTTGTTGGACCAATGAGATAACCTTTTAAATGAATGTTTGTAAAATTAATTTAAGTGACCTAGTCGTATATGCGCAGTGAATTTTTGTAAATATATACAAAAATAAATGTTGAAATTCTGAGAGCCACCAAGGAGCTATTTTTTAAGAGCAACCATTGTTTTTGTCAATTGTTTGTACTTGTTGTTACACTTTGTAACTTGTTATCCTAGTGTTTAAAACGAAGTGTTCAAAAATTAACGCACGCACCCTATAGCGATAACTCAAATTTAAATTATATAACGTCTCATTCATTTATGTACTAGTCACGAAGATGGTTAATTATTCTAATTCTTTTGTTATCTGTGTGTAACATAACTACCTGCTTTGTTTCATCCAGTGTTTATTAAGTAAATGGCATGTTAATCCCTAAGCTTGCAATACTATTAAACTGACTGTACAGGTTCCATTTGTATATTATTTATTTATTTCTTGTAATAAATTCGAACTTATTTATATTTTAACATGTTACTTACACCTTTCCTTCCCGTCAATTTAAGCGATGACGTCATGACACTATTCATTTATGAAGTTTTCCAACTAAAACCGGTTTCTTCACAGTCAAATGTCAAAAATTATACAATTTTGAAACCACACCACAAACTTTTAAGGTTATATATATGTATATATAATTCAGCTCTGCAGGCCTTAAAGGCCCTGGGCTTTTTTAACAATAATTTTCCATTTGTTCCTGTCGGCTGCTTTGGATCTCCAATCTTCAATGCCTAAGTTTTGAAGATCTTTTCGAACATCGTCTATCCACTTCAGTTTTGGCCTTCCTCTCTTTTTCTTTCCTCCTTTTAGGCGGTCTAATACTTTCCCAATTGTCCTTTCCTCTGGTGCTCTTCCGACGTGGCCTAGCCATCTTAGTGCTCTGATTATCTTCGTGATTGTTGGTTCTCCGTATATTTCCTCGATCTCTCGGTTTGTTCTTCTTCTCCATTGGTCTAGTTCTTTTATACCTCCATATATCTTTCGTAGTATCTTGCGTTCCCATACTTCCAACTTCTGTTCCTTTTCGTTCGTTAGTGTCCATGTTTCACTAGCGTACAGGACTGTAGGTCTTACTATTGTCTTATATACTTGTTTCTTTGTTCGTCGTGTTACATTTTTATTCCTCAGAAATCTGTTTAATCTTCCTACACTCTTGTCTGCTTTCGCGATCCGTTCTTCTATCTCTTCGTTCATTTCGTTTTTGTTTGTAATTACTACTCCTAGATATTTGAACCTATTTACTTCTTCGAATTCGTATGTTGTTCCTTCTTCTGTAGTTACTTTCATTGGTTTTGCTGGGGTTTGTTTTGTTTCCATCTTCATAAACTTCGTTTTCTCTTGGTTGATCGCTAAACCCATTCGTTTCGCTTCTCTGATTAGATTTTTTGTCATTTTCTTCATTTCTGCTTCTGTTCTCGTTATACATGTCACGTCATCTGCAAAGGCTATATTTTGGTGTCTTTTTTCGTATATCGTGCTCGTTCTGTGGATGCCACTTCTCCTTATTATTGCTTCGAGTACTAGATTGAACAGGGTAGTTGATATTGGATCTCCTTGCCGGAGTCCTGTTCTTACTTGGAATGGTTCTGACAGCAGACCATTTATCCTGACTCTGTTTCTGGTGCTCTGCAGGGTCATCTTTGTCAGTTTTATTAGTTTTCTTGGGATTCCCAGCTCTTGCATGGCTTCTAGCAGTTCTTTCCTGTTAACCGTGTCATAGGCTTTTTTAAAGTCTATGAAGAGCAGATATAAGTTGATTCCCTGTTCGTAATGTACTTCTTGTAGTTGCTTCAATATAAATATCTGATCTACAGTAGATCTATTTTTCCTAAACCCTGCTTGATATTCTCCTACTATTTTTTCCATATGCTGCTTTAGTCTTCGGTTGATGCAAATGGCCATTACCTTATACGTTACGTCTAGCAGCGCTAATCCGCGATAATTTTCGCATTTCGTAATATCTACTTTTTTAAATATCGGGCAAAGTACTGCTTCACTCCATTGTTCTGGCATTTTTCCTTCCTTCCAACATTCTAGCACTAGTCTGATGCTACTACCTTTCCTCCGTACTTTAACATCTCGCCCTTTACTCCGTTTCTACCAGGACTTTTGTTGTTTTTCATCTGCCTTAGTGTTTCTCTGATCTCTCCTTCATCAATTTCTATTGTTTCATCTGGGTCATCCGAGTCGTTCACTCTTTCGTTCGTATCTTGCTGTGTATCCTGTTCTTTTAGCAGCTCTTCAAAGTATTCTGCCCATCGTTTTATTCTTGCTTGTTCGTCTTCTATCAGGTTGCCGTCCTTGTCTTTACAATATATTACTCGTGGTTGATAGCCTCTTTTCTCTTTTTTCACGTCCTGGTAGAAGTTCTTTATTTCATTCTTGTTGAAGTTTTCTTCTATTTGTCGTATTTGTTCTTCCATCTTTGCTCGTTTCTTATTTCTGCATATCTTCTTGTACTCTTTCCTTTTTTCTTGGTAATCTTTTTGGTTCTTCTCATTTTTTTATTTTAGATATTTCTGTCTGGCTGACCTCCCCGCTTCTATTGCTTTTCTACATTCCTCGTCAAACCATTCGTTTCTATTTTTGTTGTCTTTTTTGACGAACCCTAGTACTTCTTCCGAGGTCTTCCATATGTTCTCTTGTAGTTCTTCCCACCTCTATTCTATAGGTATGTCTTGCTCTGTTGATCTTATTCTCTCATTCATCTTTTGTTCGTATTCCTGTTGTACTTCAGCTTTCTTAAGTTTGTTTACATTTAAATATATCACGTTGCGTCTTCTTTCCTTCTTTTTTCTTCGGTATTTCTTGTTTGAGGTCTGCTCTTACTAGAAAGTGGTCTGAATTCGCTTCTGCTCCTCTGTATCTTCTTAATCTGGTTATTAGTTGAGCATCTCTCCTTTCTACCAGTATGTGGTCTATTTGGTTGACCGTTTTTCCGTCAGGTGACATCCATGTGCCTTTGTAGATCTCTTTCTGCGCAAAGAAGGTGCTTTTGACTACCATTTTATTTTCTTCTGCAAACTCTATCAGTTTTTCTCCATTTTGATTCGTTTTTTGGTGTTTGCTTTCTTTCCCGATTGTTGGCCTGTAGCAATTCTCTTTACCTATCATTGCGTTGGCGCCTCCTATAACCATTTTAATGTCATGCTTTGGTATTTTCACATATTCTCTTTCTAGTTCTTCGTAATATTCTGTTTTTACTTCTAGATGTTTCTCTTCAGTCGGTGCATGTATATTCACTAGGCTTATTTTCCTGTACTTACTTCTCAATCTTATATAGCTCATTCTTTCTGAGATTGGTTTGAAGGTAAGGTAATTACTGACCATGAATCCTGTTCCTAGTTCTCTGTTGTCAATTCCGCTATTAAATAATATGTAGTTGTCTATTTCAGTGATGAATTTGCCTTTTTGTTTCGTCTCTTGTATAGCTGCTACATCTATATTATACCTTTGTAATTCTTGAACTATTTGTTTGAGTTTTCCTTCGCTATATGTTCCTCGAATATTCCATGTTCCTATTGTAATTTTCGGGTTTTTCTTTCTCTTCGTAATTCCTATCGGGTCATCCTTGAGCTTTGCATACGTCGTCATTGTTTTCCGATGTGTGGTTTCTTCCTCTGTTAGTTTTTTGGATTTTCTTTGGAGTGCGACGGTGCTTTCACTAATTTGTCTGATTTAGTGTCCCAATGCCAGACTTCTCCTGCCCATATCATCTTTTTGTACCCTACTTTTGCCTCGACTCCTTTCCCTTTTTCTGCTGCTGCTATTCCTCTTATTTTCTTCTGTATCTCGCTCTCTTGTTTGGTGTAATCGTCTTCAATAAACGTTTTTGATCCTTTTAATTTGTTCTTCTGTTTCATGATTGCTCTTTTTGTGTCCCAGTTCTCTATCTTTGCTACTACTATGTCGTATTTTTCGCTGACTAATCTTGCGTCTTGTATCTTAGTTTGGATTCCTACCTTATTTTTTAGGAGTTCTTCAACCTCTGCTGTTATTTCGCTTCCTTGTAGTTTCCCTCCTTTGATTACGATGTTGTTTCTCCTTTCTGCTTTTTCCAGTTTTTCTAAGTGTTGCTCCACTCTTTCTAATCTTTCGGTCAGTCTTTGGTTTTCTTCTCTTAGTGTTGTTACTTCTGTTTGGTATGCTCTTTGGTCGCTTTTCATTTCTGCGATTTTCTCCATTAACGTTTTGAACATATTCTTTACTTCGTCCATGTCTCCTGCTTGTTCCCTCTTCTGCTTCCTTTGTACTCTTTGACCTTCCGGTGATGGTGAAAAGGAAGTTTCTCTTTTTCGTTTCTGGTTGTCTTGTTCTTCTATTGCTAGTTTGTGTCCTTTTTCCGGCTCAGGATTCCCGTTTAGCATTCCCTGGCCGACTTTCTTGCTTCCTGTGTATCTAGTACGCTCCTGTGTTTACTTCGTGCCGCGATAAGAACTGTCACCCAGACTATCTCTTCGGAGGTTAGGTTCTTTTGATTCCACACTTTCCCGAATAATTGCTGTCTTTACACTTCTTGGTGCCTCTTACTCTTATTCCACTTCACTTCTTTGTTTTCTACTACTTCTCTTTCGCTTTTGACGCTCGATATCTCTCGATTTTCGAGTTTGGATTTCGGAGCGTGTTCTGCTTGTTTAAGGTAGTTATAGTATTAATTTATTATTACAGGCTTTAATAAGATTCCCAATAGGGGTACAAATTAACTTAATCTACATAATACAAATAAATCAATAAAAATAAATAAACTAAATGTTCGAGTTTTATATAAAAATAATTTTTCTATTCTTTCTGCTTGCCCACCTCTTCAATATATTCTATACCTTCTGTCAGTTTCATCCATTCAAAAATTATTCTCTTTCTCTTCATTTCCACGCCTAAATCTCGTCATCATTCCTTTCTCCTTTATACTCTCTGTGTGTGTGTACTTTGGTACTTCATCATTTCTGTTCTTGCTTATCTATATCTTTATCTCTTACACTCAGTTCTTCTTTCATACTCCTTCTGTTAAACTTTCTTTGTATTTCAAGTCAGACAATGTTAAGTTTTCTTCGGGTTTCTTTATTGAACAAAAAGGCGCCTTGTAACTAAAGAAACATTCCTGACAATTCACATACTATTAATAAAATGACGGACCCTCATAGACTTTGCTTTCAATATCTTCAATAAATATCAAGACTATACCGGCATTTTGATTACTCATTTCTATCTGGTCCTCTCACTCACCTACAAACATACTAACCACTAGATGTATAAAATAATTAATTTCAACACCTTCCCATTTCTCTCATTCTCCCTATTTCTTCACATGCATATTCCTTCCTCTCATCTAGTATCATTGCGTATATCTTGTACACCGTATCGAGCAAGGTGATCAATCGGTAGTTTTTCACATCACATTTTTGCCCATTTTTAAATAATGGAATTATTATACCTTCTCTCCACTGCCGAAGAAACCCTTTTCCCTTTCAAACTCCATCTACCACTTCCCATATCCTTTCTTTCACTCCTTCTATCCCGAACATCCACGCTTCATTCTGGATTCCATCTTCTCCTGGTGCTTTTCCTTTTTTCAGTCTTTCAATCTGTCTTCTTATTTCATCTTCTGTTATTTCCGAACCTTTCCACATTTCTTCCGTCGTTGTGATTCCTTTATTTATTTTGCAGCATTTTTCCTGACAACGTCCCAATAATTCCATAAAGTGTCTTTTCCATTCATGTATATATTTTGATTTTCTTACTGACTTCAGTCTTTCTTCTCCGTTGCTTGTTTATATATCTCCATACTTCTTCTTCTGTTTTCAGGGACTTTACTGTCTTCTCTTCTTCTTCTCGTTTTTCTCTTTTTCTTTCTTCACATTTTCTCCTATAATTCTCTCTTGCTTGTAAGTACTCTTCTTTCCTTGCCCTGTTCTTCTTCCATTTTCTTAATTTTTCCTTTGCTTTTCTCTTCAATTCTCTTTGTTATTTGCTTTGTCTTTTGTTCCTCTTTTCTCTCCCTTTTCTTTATCTATTATTCTTGTCCCGTTATCGCCCAGTCTTGCCATGTTTCACTACTATACATTAAAAGTAGTCTTACTATTTTTTCTATTTCTTCCGTTTGGCTACTTTCATGTTTTATCGACGTTTCGTTATCATAACCCCCAAAATATAAAAAAATTGGTCGCCCCTGAAACAAATTCCACAAAATTTGATTTTACGATTTTTTGTGATAAGCTCTATAAAGTAAACACCAAAGGCGGCCCCTGCGCTACGGGGACATAAATTGCAAGGTACCGTGGTCCGCACAAGTGCGATCGATAGAAAATATATTTGAACCAGAGAAGCAACGGGAAAATGAATTCTTAATAATTATATGATCAACTTCGAGCATTTATGTTTAAACTGAAATAATTCGACTAGAATTACGTACGTCCGATGGACTTGATTACAATACTTCCTTAGCTTACGCTCAAGAAGTAAAAAGAATCTATTATTGATTTTTCAGTTTTACTAGTTACTATTTTCTTAAGGGGCATGTCATTTGCCAAGGTCAGTTTTATCTTAGTAAGTACTGATGACTAACTTTTTAAAATTATTAAAAATAAAAGAGTCAAAAAATAAAGTAAGAATTTATTGGACAAATGTGACAAAACGAGAACAACATTACCTTAAATTTTGAATAAATTAAAACGACCCTTTCAGGGTAAAAATACATAACATGGGTAAATCAAGCACATACACTCAGAATTACAAAAAAAAACCTACATTTAACATTGTTCACATCGTTTTGGGTACGTGCGCTGTGGATTATTTTATCTGTAGAAATCCATCAATCTAGTACTATAGTTAGCGGGTACGCCGGAGTTCATTTTCCAGTCGATTCGCCTCTAATTCCACCGACAGAAGCTCCTCAGCAATTTGGTTTAGCCGTGGATCAAAGAATAGAGGCATTTTTCTCATCTTTTTTCGGTTCTTTAACTCTGATATTATTTCTTGTACTCCAACACCTAGCTCCGCTGCGTTAACTACCCCAGGGTACAATTGTAGGAACTCGTCGCCTACCAAACAGATTGAGAGTAAGTTTATTATCTTGTGAGACACTAGCTCGAACCTAGAGTCGTAGTTGAAGAACTTATGATCAAAAGAAAGTGGATTGCCATTTCCGGCCTCGTTTTTGATTACTAGACAAAAAACAAAATATTTTGGAAGCAGAGGCACCAAACTTCTAAGATGTTGCTGAATCATAGTCTCGCGGTTAGTTATCATGGTGCCAGGAAATGGTCTGCATCGGTACCAGCCGACCACATTTGGAAGCAAATCTCCCAGCAAACTCGCCACCTTTTCAGGAACGACTCTCCCGTAACCGTCGTAGAAACGAAGAAATGTCGGCCACGGCAAGAACGATTTAATATACAAGGTTTTGTAGCGACGGATGTATGGTTTTTTAACGTCATCGCTAATCGGTACCACTTCTGACATTTCTTTCAATTCACCTATCAAGAAACCTTCCTAAAAAGACACGAATAAATAAGTTTCAAAGAATGATTGTATTTACCTTGAAGTAGTCCGCTTTTAGGGTGTCGAAAGTTAACAATGAGATTGTGATTGGGGCGATGGACACCGACCAATTGTCATCTATATAGTCTTCCGTTATGGCACTACTCGTAGACTGTGTCATTTTATTTACTGAACTCGAACTATTCGTGGCAAATTAATAAAATTCGTTGGTAGAACAGCCACAACTGATGGTTTCTTGTTGCTTTTTGTGAGTAAAAGACAAACTTGCACCTGTAGTTTTTAGTTGTTTTTTCTACTTCGTTGAAAACAGTATTTCCGATTACTCTCACGTGCGAGATCCGTGCAAAATTTTGTTATAATCACACCACAAGGATTTTTAGAATGTTTTCTTTAATTTGACCGTCGACTTTCGTACATCCTAGAATATGAAAAAATAGTTTCCCATTTCCACTTATCTGTCGTCTTCTGGCAACTCTATTAGACAAATAATCTCTGCAACTACTGTTAGATAGGTTGTAATGAAACTAATTTTAAAAATATTGTGTAGATCGTAAACATTCACCAAAATTTGTCTAGTCATCCCCCTCAAAAATTTAATAATATCGTCATGTCAAAATTTGTGATAGGCAAATTCCATTTTCTCTGTTTTTGAAGCGCAACATACAAGTTCGTTTTTTTTTAACAGAACACCCTACATATTTTTTCGTGCTCTGACATTTTTCCTTAAAAAAAAACCTGGCGCATATTATACTCTTTACCTCGTCTTCGCAAAATAACCAGCGTGAGTTCCGCTTTCGCAACTACTGTAGTAGTAGTAAGTAGTAAGTGTTTATTTTTTACCCTACGGGCTTAAAAAGATTCTTGACACTACAATTTTTTCCCTAGTTAACAAAAAACCAAATAAATACATTTTATAAACTAAATAACTAATTTTTCTTTCCTTTACTCCATCCCCTCTTGCCCCAGCCTTACTCTTGTCCTCTCCACTTCTTTCATCCATTCCACCCCTCTTTCGTCTTCATTCAATATCTCTGTCACACTCTCCTCTCTTTCTTTGCTCTCCTCACAGTCATGTAGCATGTGCTCTATCATCTCTCGCTCTTCTCCACACATCCTACACATTCTCTCACCTTCGCTTACCCAAAACTTATTATTTCTTTCTTCATTTCCACACCTAAATCTCGCAATTATTTTTTTTTCTTTCGCGCTTTCTCTGTCTAGGTACTTTGGTATTGTTTCTGTTATTATCTTTCTATAGTCTGCATTGTACCTAGAATTACTTACACTCGCTCTTCTCTCTTGTTTATCTATGTCTCTGCCACGCATACACAACTCTTCTCTCATACTCACCCCCATTTTTCTCTTTCTCTCTATTTCCATCCATGCGTATCCCAGTCTTTCATAATATCCTTGTCTACCCTTGTGATGTTCTTTCCCGGCTTCCTTTTTTTTTTCCTTCCAGCATTCATACAATATCCTACATTCCTCTCTTTCTTTCAACCTTTCATCATACTTTACAGCTCTTTTCCCAGTGTATACTCTTAGTTTCTCTCGTTTACATTCTTCTCTTACTATATAGCCTGGCGTCTCTTTCCGTAGCCCTAACATCCACCTCAAATATTTTTCTTGTACTGCTTCAATCTCTGCATATTCCTTCCATCCCCATATCTCCACTCCATACATTAATACACTCCTAACTAAACTATCAAACATTTTCATCCTTCTTCTTACGTCATGTCCAAATATTCTCTCATCTATACTCCACACCATTGCCATTATCTGCATTGCTTTGACCTTCTTTCTCTTATGTGTTCTTTTACCGTGTTAGTTGTTGTAAACTTAAATCCTAATCCTTTTCTCCCTTTTTTTCTAAACACCATCATTTTTGTTTTTTCTACATTTACCTCCAGTTTCTTTCTTTTAAAGTATCTTTGCAGATTTTTTTTCATCTCATTCATTCCACATTCATCCTTCGCCAATATTACCAAATCATCTGCAAATGCCAAACACCATACCTTTTCTCTCCCCACCACAATTCCTCCCGCTTGTACTCCTCTAAACATTTCCTCGATATCGCTTATGTAACAAGCAAACAGACTGGGACTTAATGGGCATCCCTGTCTCAATCCTTTCGTCGTCCAAAACATTTCGCTTTCTATTCCTCGCACTCTCACACTAGTCACTGTCTCTCTATAAATCTCTCTTGCTGCTACAATTAACTGTTCACTCAGTCCTCTTCTTTCCATCCATTCCCACAAACACTTTCTGTCCACCGTATCAAACGCGGCTTTTAGGTCTACAAACAGTGCATATACCCGACCTCCTTCCTTTAGCAACTCTTTTTCTATTAGATGATGCAGGATATATACATTGTCCATAGCCCCTCTACCTCTTCTAAATCCCGCTTGACTTTCCGGTAATATACTCTTTTCGTTCATCTCTGTCACCAACCTTTCATTTAATACCATTGCGTACAGTTTATATGCCGTATTTAGGAGAATTATTTCCCGATAATTCTCTACTTTTTCTTTACTACCCTTTTTATGAATTGGGCATATTTGTCCTACTCTCCATTCCCTGGGAAAACCTTTACCCGTCCACACATCATTCATTAACTCGCCTCAATCTTTCAATCATCCCATCCATCCCAAATATCCACACTTCGTTTACCAACCCATCCCTCCCCGGTGCTTTTCCCCTTCAGTCTTCCTACTTGTTTTCCTACTTCCTCTACTCGAATCTCCGCTTGCCTTTCTCTACCCCCAATCCCGGTTTTACTATCTTGCACTTCATAAAATGCTTCTTCCACTGTATTATAGGTATGTCTTCACTAATCGTTATTTTGTTCTTCCGTTCTTTATTTATATACTGCCATACCTCTTGCTCAGTTCTTATGGCTTTAATTTTTTCTTCTTCTTCTTGCTGTATCTCTTCTTTCTTTTCTTTGCATCGTTTTCTATAATCATTTTTTGCTTGCCAGTACTCTTCTTTTATACCTTTCTCCTTTTTCCACCTTCGTAAACATTTCCTTGCTTCTGTTTTTAAATCTCTGCATCTGCTATCCCACCATCTGTTTCTCTTTTCTGAATTTGTCGTTACAATTTCTTTTCTTATGGCTGCTTTTTCAATTTCTCTTTTTAATTCTTCCATTTTCTTTTCAGTTCCTTTTTCTTTAAATTCCACTTCCAACATTTTTTTTTCATAATGCTCAATTCCGTTTTCATTCCATCCCCATATCTTCTTCTCTTTTCCTACTTCATTCCTTAAGCATCCGCTCCCTCCACTTATGCCCCTCACTTTTACTTCTAATGGCATGTGATCGGAGTCTACTCTTCCTCCTATCTTGAATGTTTCTACGTCTTCTTCTGCTAATCCGTTTACTATTACGTAGTCTATTACCGATTCCCCTCTTTTACCTACGTAAATTCCCCCTCCTCGTCCCCTTCCTTCACCCCATTCAAGACTTCCCAACCTCTTTCTTCAATTAATTCCCATAGCAATTTTCCGTCTTTATTTTCTACTTTATCTTTCGATTTTCGTGTGTTTTCCCCGTCTTTTTTCCTGCTTTTGTTCCCTATTCTGGCATTAAAGTCCCCTCCTAACAATAGAAATTCTTCTTCGAACTCTTTGATTTTTTCTTGTATTTCTTGTTTCGTGTTTCTCATTCCTCTACTATATATTGTGCAGATTCTCCATCTTTTTTTATTTACAATCAGTTTTCTTTCAACTAAGCCTTCCATTTCTATTGCCCCCTCTCCTATTTCTTTTATATCTTTCTTCACTCCTGTTATGATTCCACCTTTTGCTCTACCCTTGCGTTTTTCTTTTTTTGCCCTTTGCAATTTCCACTGAAATTCCTTTGGCAACACGTCTTTTAGTTTGTTCCAGTCTCTCTCTAGTATCCATGTTTCTGTTAGTCCCACAAAATCAAAATTTTTCCCGTAGTTCCAAAATAACTTATCTTTCTTTTTCAAACCCGCAATATTTCCAAAGAGTAATTTTAAACCACTTTTATCTTCCCCATTCTTCTTTCCCATTCCCCTATTATGTACAAAATCTACATTCTTAAACCTAAAGTCTTTATTTGTCCCATCATTACTACCCCTCCCCTTTGTGTTTCTTTCTTTGGTTAGTGCTGACTTGATTTGAGAAATTTTTCTTCCAATTTTCCTTTATTTTCATTCCATATATACATTTTGTTCCCTACTTCCAGCTTCTTATATCCTACCCTTGTTGTGTATCCTTTTTTTCTTTCCTCTTTAACTGTCCAATCATTATCAATATATATTCTCTTTCCTCTCAGTTTATTTTTATTTTTCATCACCTCTTCTTTTTCCTCCCAAAACGTCTTAACCAGTATTTTCTTGCTTGCCTCTTTCCCTATAATTATTGTTTCCAACACTTTTACTTCCACCTCAATTTCTTTTTTCAAAAATTCCTCTACTTCTTTTGCATCTGTTCTTTCCCTTATTTCCATACCCGTAATTATGAAATTGTTTCTTCTTTCTTGCCTCTCTTTTTTTTCCACCTTCTTCTCTAAATTATTGATTCTTTCTTCGAAGCTTCTCTCCTTTTGTTTCCATTCTTCTCTTTCTCTTTCCAGTATTCCATTTATTGTCTGTAATTCTTTTTTTACCCCTCTATTTTCTTCTCTCAGTTGTTTCATTTCTTCCATTAGTTGTTTCATCATTTTCATCAACGGCTCTTGTCCTTGCTTTAGTTGTTCTCTTTCTTCCGCAACTACTGCGCTGTTTTATTTCAATTAAGTTAAAACTACTTACTTAAACTAATTACGCCACACTCTGTGGACAAAACTCCCACATCACATACAAAAAATAACATGTTCAATTCGATCAAAATCACAAACACCTAATCTCGGAAACGCTTGGCGTACTTCAAGAATGCAGCCTGAGGGAACACTCGAGGTACTTCGAGAATAAATGTTCGAATTCAAGGAGCAGAAAAATTATTAAAGCTGCAAGAAAATAGTTAGATCTGAAACGAACTATTAAATCTGTAAGGAAATATTAAAGCCCTCTCGTTCAGTCTACGAGCGTATGAATTTAACCACATACTTCAACATAATTCAACGTTTAGATGAGTTTAAATACAATAAATGAATTATTAGCAACCTAGAGTGGGAAATCAAAAATTGTGTTAATATAATAACTTAAATAATTTTTATCTTTAACTCTTTTTAGATTTTTAATGACTGATTAATGATTTAAAAACTACACAACCGCTTCCTCTGAAACTTTACACACCCTTGAGACAGACATATTATGAACACGGTATATCATTAATCAAAATTCATCTGTTTATCCGTTCCAAAAACTTGATGACGTCATTTTGAAACTTTTAGCCAGTTTGACTTATAAGGCTGCTTTAGCTTAAGCCACTTAAGTCATAACAGTTTTACAAGGTGTATGTCAAATGAGGTTACAATACTTGAATGACCGTTTGTTCAGCTGTTAATTTTACAGATTCTCCAGTTTTCAATTTTACGATTTTTCAATTATTCCATTTTTTGCTTTGTTAGTTTTCCTATTTTACAATTTTTTGAGTTTTAAACTTTTAGTTTTTTAGTTTTTCAATTTCGTGTTTTTTATTTTTCAGTTAAGAAACAAATTTATTCAAACCAAAAATCCAAAAATTTCAAAATGAAAATCGAAAAACATTTAAAAATTATAAAAATATGGAAAAATTAAAAATAAAACTGCAAAATCGGATCATGAAAAATTGGAAAAACGAAAAATGAACATAATGAAAAATTAAACAAGGGGATAATTGAAAAAACAATTGAAAAATCGAAAAATTGTAATACAGAAACCTGAAAACCCTCTACAAAAAAGCCATTCTGCAATTTTTCGATTTAAAATTTTTCAAATTCTCGATTTTTGATTTTTCATTTTTTAATTGTACAACAAAGGATAAATTTATTCAAACTGAGCTTTTGAAAAATCATAAAATTGTAACAGTGAAACATGAAAAAACAAAACAATTTAAAATCGAGAAATTGAAAAATCGATAAAAAGAAAATTCTGCAATTTTTCGATATAAAATGTTTCGAATTCTCGATTTTTATTTCTTCAGTTTCTCGATTTGTCATTTTTTAATTGTTCAACAAAAGGACAAATTTATTCAAACCGAAATTTTGAATTGAATTGAAAACTCATAAAATTGAGAAATCGAAGAATTGAAAAAATAAAGAAAACTTGAAAAAACCGAATAAAATTGAAATTGAACAATGGGATAATTGAAAAAACAATTGAAAAATCGAACAATTGTAATATTAAAACCTGAAAACCCTGATTAATTAAAAATAGAGAAAGTGAAAAATTGAAAAAACGAAAACCAAAAATTTTTATAAAATAAATAATAATCAAAAATACAGAAAAAAATTAATTTCAAAATCCAAAAATTTTAAAATGAAAACCGGAAAAGTAAAAATTAAGAAATTCTAAAAACGAAACATGGAAAAATTAAAAAATTGTAACATCGAAAAACGAAACACTGAAAACACAAAAAATTTAAAAGTTTAGAAATCGAAGAATTGAAAAAATACTGAAACTGAAAAATCGGTTAATGGAAAAACCCAAAAATTGTACAATTGAATAATAAAAGGAAGAAATGAAAAATTGAAAATCAAAAATTGAAAAACCACACTTGAAATATCGAAAAATTGAAAAAACAACTGAGAAAAAGATAGAAACTCTAAAATCTAAAATTTGTAACATTGAAACCTGAAAAAGTGATTAACTAAAAATCGAAAAAACGAAAAATTGTAAAATTCAACACATAGAAAATCGAAAAATTAAAAAGCAAATTAGAAAATCGAAAAATTAAAATCTCTACAAATCAAAAAACCGTAAAATACAAAAATTTTACTGAAAAATCCAACAATTTCATTATGAAAATCGAAAAAAATGAGAAATGCAAAAATGTAAGAACGAAACACGGAAAAATCGAAAAATATAAAAATCTCGAATTGAGAAATCGAAAAATCGAAGAAACAAAATAATTTTGAATTACCCACTAAGAAGTGATTTTTCGTTTTTTAATTTTTCAACAAAAGGGCAAATTTATTAAAACTGAAAAACTGAAAAATCAAAAAATTAAAAACTGAAAAATCGAAAAAGAAACACTGAAAAACCCAACAACGTGAAAACTGAGATATCGAAGAATTGAAAAAATAAAGAAACTTAAAATCGAATAACTAAGAGGTCATCAATTGGAAAAGGGAAAATTGCAACCTTAAAAATGAAAACCCTGAAAATTTAAAAAACAGAAAAATCCAACAATTGCAAAATTTAAAATCAAAAATAGAAAAAACGAAACTTGAGAAACTGAAAACTTCGGTAACTGAAAAAACAACTGAAAATTTGAAAAACTGAAAAACAAGAAACTGTAAAATCTAAAAATACAAAAAAATTAAATTGAAAAATCCAAAAATGACAAAATAAACATCGAAAAACTGTAAAATTACAAAATCGAAAACTGAAAAATTAAAAAAAAAACGAAACATTAAACAAATAAAAAAATCGGATAACGAAAAAATCAGCAATTGAAAAATCAAAAAATAAAAATATCTTTAATTGTAAAAATCGAAAAATACAAAAATTTTACTAAAAAATCCAATAATTTCATAATGAAAATCGAAAAACTAAAAAACGGAGAAATGTAAAAATGTAAAAACGAAACACGGGAAAATCGAAAAATTATCAATTAAAAAAACGAAAAATATAAAAATCTCGAATCGAGAAATCAAAAAATCGAAGAAACAAAATAATTTAGAATTACCTACTTAGAAGTACTTTACAACACTTCCACGTCCGTTTCCTCAACATAAACCAACGTTTAGATGCAGGCTAGAGTAAGAAATCAAAAATTGTGTTAGAGTAATAACTTAGATAACAAAATCCAGAAGTTTGAAATATTGTCATGAATAAAAGAGTGAATCTGCATAAGATAATTTCTTTACACGTGGTTTATATGAATATTTACATGACCATTAAATTGTATTAGAACCAAGGACAGTGAAAATCTGAACATGAAATTGACACCACGTGTTGACATCGGCGAAACTTCACAACATTTGAGATTAGAAAATCATTAGATAGGAATTAATTACGCTTATAATTTTCGTTTAAACAATTGCTATTTTATAAAATTACAAACTAAATTTAATCTAGCCTTATTTTCACCACGTGGTTACATACTCTTACACCAAATAAACCACAAGCGATCGCCTAAACACCAAACGACAAGTGTTAAAAATAACTACAGCAGCATTTTCCAAATTAGGATCTACAATGTCCACTGTAACATCGGTAGCTGGAATAAAGCAGTAATTATTAAGTAGGAGTTACTATTATGGTGATCAGTGATAAATTGTTGTTATTAATGTTGTAAAGTTAACATTAACTATTTCATTGACATCTATAGTATCTTACCAATTTTCTTTGCTGAAGGAGTACACACGGAAAATGATGATTCTTCCACAAAGGCATCATCAAAAGTACGTTTTTCGGTGTCTTTCATGCACACTACAATAACGGAATAGTTAAGAATGTTTTTTTAAATGTAGTAATACTTACTTGGGACATACAAAGTTGGTACAGCTGTTCGTAAAAGACCCTTGCACCCTGGATTAAAATAATTGTCAGTAAAATGACACTTACAAATTCTTTTCTTGTTGTAAATATCTTCCAACGACATTTGCAAAAGATCGCCGCCGATAATGCTGATCCATGTTCGTAACATTGCTTCCTCCTTGCGAGGATTTGGCAAACGAAAACGTTCAGTACCTTCAAATCTGCATCCAGGTACACAACACTTACGGCTTTTATTATACATAATAATACGTAGTAAAACTGGAAACAAATACACTTTTAAATTACTTTTCAAATAAATAATCACAACTCACCTAATTCCCACACGGAATGATAAAATTATTTATCGCAAATTTGTAGATAAATAAATAAATAAATAAACACAATGAACACCACAGAACACTCACGTGAACACAACCTCAGAACTCGAGATTTCAAATAAAAGTGAGCTCAGGAAATGAGCATGGAGAATTCGGCACGTGGTAGTAATAAGCTAGTACTGGTGATTGGTTGAGAAACACGTGGTTATAAGCGCCATTTTTAAAAATTCGACACTGGCGCCTCTAGTGAATGGCCGGAAAATTAGAGGACTGTTTTGATGACGTAAACCAAGTGGCCGCAGCATGGACCAGTCTTAAACTAGATTTAATTAAATTTAGTGACAAAAAGAAAATCTCGCACAGCCGCCATGTTTACCAACCTTTCTATTTTCCCGTTTCTGGCACTGTAACCACACAAAATTACCGCATCCCACCGCATCCGCTCAACTGTCAATTCAAGTGTCACATGCTGCAAAAAGTTAGGTTAGGCAATATCATTATTTACAGCATGTGTTATTAAACCCGTCTTCAAAAACCGCCACAAAATGAAAGTAAAAGTGATTAGCAGAAACCCCGATGACTACCTACGCGAGACCAAACACGACATCCATAAAGGTAAACATCCGTCGCCCCATGACCAACTCACCAACAACATTTTCAGTTCCCCGCAACTACGACCCAGGTTTGCACCCATTTGAAGCAGCCCGTGAGTACACAAGAGCCCTAAACGCAGTCAAACTAGAAAAAGTCTTCGCTAAACCGTTCGTCGGAAATCTGGATGGCCACAGGGACGGAGTTTCGTGCATCTCCAACCACCCCAAACGATTATCAGTTTTAATCAGCGGAGCTTACGACGGCGAGGTTCGGGTTTGGGACTTGCCCCAGAAGCTGTGTCTTCGTAGTTTTGTGGCTCACGAAGGTGTGGTTCGTGGGGTTATTTATAATCCTGCAGGAAACCATTTTTTAACACTGGGGGATGATAAGACTATCAAGACGTGGAAAACTGCAGCTCCACAGTTTGGAGAGGAGGAGGAGCCGGTGAATACAGTCATAAGTAAAACTGTTCTGACGGGTATTAGCCACCATGTTAAGGATCCTGTGTTTGCCACTTGTGGTGAAATTTGTCAAGTGTGGGAAGAGACGAGGAATGAGCCTGTAAGGACGTTTGAATGGGGGGTTGACAGTTTGCATGATATTGCGTTCAATCCTGTCGAGCCGAATTTGTTAGCGTCGTGCGCTAGCGATAGAAGTATAATTTTGTATGACACTAGGGATAGTGGGCCGCTGAGAAAAGTCGTCCTAAAATTGAGAACTAATAAAATCTGTTGGAACCCTATGGAGGCTTTTATCTTCACAGCAGCCAATGAAGATTACAAGTAAATTTAGTTTTGTTTACAAAGAACAAACAAATTATTAATTTTTATTTGTAGCTTGTACACATTTGACACCAGAAATCTCAAAAAACCAGCTAATGTTCACATGGACCACATAGGCGCTGTGACTTACGTTGATTATGCGCCAACTGGTCGAGAATTTGTTAGTGGAAGCTATGACAAAACTATCAGGATTTTTGAAACAAGTAAAGGCCACTCGAGAGAAGTTTACCACACTAAAAGAATGCAGCGCATTACTTGTGTCCAGTGGTCTCTCGATAATAAATACATTTTGAATGGTTCTGATGAAATGAATATTAGAATTTGGAAGGCTCGCGCTTCTGAGAAGCTGGGACCGGTAAGATTCATTATTATTATTATTGTTGTTATTAATAGATTGTTTAATTTCAGTTAAAACCACGTGAAAAAGCCGCTCTGAACTATAGTGAAGCTCTGAAAGAAAAATATGCTGCACATCCAAAAATACGGCGGATTGCTAGGCACAGGCACGTGCCTAAACATGTATATAACGCGCAAAAAGAATTGCGCACTATTAGGGATAAAGGGAAGAGGAAGGACGCTAATCGTAGGGCGCACTCTAAACCTGGTGAAGTTCCACATCAGCCAGAAAGGGAGAAACATGTGCTCAAGGAAGATCAATAACGTCTGTATTTACATATTGAATATTAAAGTACTTTTTTTACAACAAAGAGTGTTTTTTCTCAATTATGTGTTTCCAAAATAAAAACATCCGAAGCTTAATAATAAATAACGAAAATTGGCAAACTGTGATCCTAGATTACTATTTACTCTCGATTCCATTGTTTGTATAATTGGTTGCATACCCAAAATACCTACTTAAATGGTCGTTTTTTCATTTATTAGAGGTATCGAAAAAATTATTCTGAGATATTGTGGTATTAATCTTGACATTTAAATTTCGCGCTGATAAAAGAACGCCGCCACACCGCATTTGAAAATTTAAAAATAAGAAAAATTATTCAAACGTGGGCAACCATGTGTAGAGACCATACTTCAGTTAGGGTGGAGCGTTTAGATAATTACTGGATGCCACCCTATAGGTTAGTAGTGGTTAGGGTGGGAAAGTACCTATAGCAGGTAAAAAATTGGAAGGTCACTCGACCTAGGGCTAGGGCACTTCCTGGGTAGCGGGGTTAGACAATAGTTTTATTTACTGAACAAAATGAATAATATACATAACTTCCATGAAAAAAAAAATATATCGTTAAAATTAGTTACTGTAACAAAAAATTTGTTATATGACAATTATATTTTCAAATGAACAATTGTATAATATATCGGTAAAGGTAACTTGTCGATAAAATATTATACTGAGCAGAATATTTTTACCGATTAGGGCTAGGTCTCTGGATGCATATACGTAAGTGTTACATTATAACACTTCTAAATTCTTCACACAAGATTGCTAATAGTTCATTTACGGCAGTTAAACAAGTTCATTATACTGCGAACTGGCGCGAGGGGTTTAAAATGTTTTCTTCCCTTAGGCGGTTATCATCGTTATCATGAAGTTGATTCACTTAACTATTTGGATATTCATCAGTTTAACCATGTTTTAAATTGTAATAACTCCTGTCTTGACCTCGTACTCTCGAATGTAGTAAATGTTAAAGTTCAGAAAGACAGTTATAGCATTGTACCGAATGTTGACGCATATCATCCACCACTTAACATAAAATTTCCTCTGTCTTTCGCTTATACACCTCTCTGTAATAACTTAGCTTACAAACTTAACTTCAAAAATGCTCGCTATGGTGAAATTAACGACTACTTTTCTACTATAAATTGGAATAGTTTGTTTTCAACTAATGATATTAGGACAAATTTTGATATTTTTACAGCGTTCTAAGAACGGCTATTGAAACCTTTATCCCTAAATCTGCTGTTGCTAATAATAAATTTCCAAATTGGTTCTCCAAAGGCACTAAATTACTTATAAAGACAAAAAATAGACTATTTAAAAAATTCAAACTTCGTTATGATATAGGATACTTTAATAAATTTAAAGAAATCAGAAATTCTGTTAAAAGTTTGATTCATGAAGACTACAAGAAATTTATATCTTACACCGAAAACAATATCAATACCAACCCTAAATATTTTTGGACATATGTATCTCAATTCATTAAGAAAAAACTTTGGAATGCCAAACTGGATGGTACACAATCAGGAAAATTCGAACAACCCTGAAATTATTTGTAATATGTTCGCAGATTTTTTTCAGAGTACATATACAAACCATCAAAACCAAAATATAGACGTCCGTAATTTAGATGTATTCCACAGTAATAATACTCTTAGCTCAATTAAAATTTCAAACGACATTGTATTTCACAATTTATCCAATTTGAAAAATAACTTAACTCCCGGGCCAGATGGTATTCCTGCCTTCTTTATAAAATATTGCAGTCCAACTCTTACTTGGCCAATTACCCTTATTTTTCAACTTTCTCTCGATTCTGGCACATGCCCTGAACAGTGGAAATCCTCATTTATTATCCCATTGCGTAAATCTGGCTCCAAAAATGAAGTTAAAAATTACAGACCTATTGCTTCTTTGTGCTCTTTATCTAAAGTTCTGGATTCTATTGTTTCTGACCACTTAATCTCAACATTTAAAAATAATATTTCCATCCACCAACATGGCTTTTTACCCAATCGTAGTACAGTAACTAACCTATTTGAGTATACTAATTATATCAATAACTCAATGGAACAAGGATATCAAGTCGATGCCATTTATACTGACTTCTCCAAGGCTTTTGACCGTGTTGATTTACTACTTCTTTTAAATAAATTAAAATACTATGGCGTGATTGGAAGCATTTTATCTTGGATCAGATCTTATTTAACGCACAGAACGCAGGTAGTCAGTATAAATGGCCATCAACCAAAAGTTAATAATAATAATAATAATATTAATATAATTAATAATATTAATACATTAATTATCAATACATTCCGTCTCCATTCCTTGAAAATAACAAATACAAATTATACTGGGATCGCACAATACTTACAGACTTAAACATTACAGCTAACAGACCAGACATCATACTTATCAAACAACACACGAACGAAGCCATTCTCATTGACATTGCTATTCCTAACACAATAGTTATTTATGTTACAAGTGTTGAAAACGGTCCATTGCATTACGAACGGGAATACGGCGCGAGACGCAGTCGAGCGCTGTATGTAAGTGAGTAATGCAATGGAGTTTTCACACGAGTATCATACAATATTTTTTGCGCTGCCTTTTTGAAAAAATAACATTTTTCAATCGCTAAAAGAATAAATATTTCTGAACCGAAATTATGTTGGTATTGAATTTATTACCAAATACGTCAAATACCAATCTGTCAATTTGTCCGGTCTAGATTTTGAATTTCAAAGTTGAAATGGAAAATCGTGCACGTATTCAGAAAATTGCAGATAAAGCAACTGCAAATTTGTTGCCTACAAAATCCGCAGGTCCATATGAAGCCGAATATCAAAAATTCATCAAGTGGTGCGAAGAAAATAAAATACGCGAATTTTCTGAAACGGCGCTCTTGGTTTATTTCCAAATTAAGTCGGAAATCATGAAAGCCTCCACACTGTGGACAATATATTCAGTTCTGAAAAGCACTCTTGGCATCAAACATAACATAAATCATTCGAAATTTTATAAGTTAACAGCGTTTTTAAAGCGGCAGAATGACACAAGCCCAAGAAGTCTGAAATACTTACCAGTGGAAACATTTTTATTTACGGCTCCAGATCAGAGAGAATCTTGTGATTATGATTCAGCGTGAGGTTGCGAATAACGTCAAGTTTAAACGGTTTTTTTAATTAACAAGAACTACTAACAAATAGTAATAACATAATAGTTGTCAACAACATAAACCAAACCATCGAATAGTGTCAACTGTCAAATTACTACAAATCCAAATTTTGATCAACAAATTCCCCTATTTAAGATTACAACTTAAATTGCGCTTTTTTAAAATTTCGAGCCACTTTTTGTTATAATAACTTTAGATACATGATTATCAATTAGTAGTAATTACTTTGTGATAATCAATTTATTTTTTCAAAGCTTAAATTCCTCGTTTGTATTTTGCGGCGCTAGATCCTTTTTCATTGCCATTACGACACGCCACGTGTCAACGTAAAATGTCAATTACAACTATGGCAGCGCAAAAACAACATTATTCAAACATACAACACCAAGATTTCAAAATATCTACAATTATCGATAGAAATGAAATCCATGTTGAATCTTAAAAAAATTTCAATTCTACCCCTAGTTATCTCTAATGTAGGTGTAGTTCCAAATAGCTTAGTTGAGAATTTAAAGTCTTTGCATTTGAATGATTCAATAATTGTCAAAATTCAAAAAGCTGTTTTGTTAGGAACATGTCATATTGTTCGTAAGTTTCTTGAACAGTCTGATCATGTCAGTCAGATTAGATTAGCACCAGTAGGTCAGAGTAGTGTAGGTCACTTTTCATGTGATGCGCGGATAAATGGTCGGTAGTTACGCTGGACTTTTGGGGATGGGGTGAGATTAGAGAATAATAGCAGACTAATTTGTATGCTGTAATTCTAGAATCTCGAAAGTTGTTCTGTTAATCTAATCAATGCATATCATTACTTGGTCTTAGTACCCGTAATGATAGAAGTCTTGCCTGAATGCCGGTCATTTCCGGGTCAGTGGTGGGTCTTAAAAAATAATAATAATAATAATAATAGGACTTTATTAAATAATAATAGGCGAAGTCTAGCCATAGGCTATTCCACTTAACCTTAGATTTACAAGAAAATAAAACTAAGCAAACAGTTTGTACAGAAAAACGGATTAAATATCTAGACAGGAGTCAGCTAGGTAATGATCAAATTAAACAATTTAAACTAATTAAATCTAAATTAAATTAAATTAAATTAAATTAAATAATCCATAATTAGAAACTAAATTTATACAAATAATAATAATAATAATAACAAAAAGTTAACAACAAGCAAGAGAACCACAATAATAAACTTAAACCTAAGTATTAATCAAGCATTTTTTTAATTTTTTTCCTAAAACAATTGATGGAAGAACTTGAATTAAACTCTAATAAAAATTTATTGTAAACTTTGATAATATTGTACGTGAAAGATCTCTGAAAGATAGATGTATAATGCTTTGGCATTGACAGTTCTTTAAGATTCCTTAATGGAAGACTTGAGTTTAACATACTTTTTCTTGTATGAAATTTACAACGCAAGTACGGCGGAGAGTTAGAGAAAAATAACTTGAAGGCAAGTTATTTTAAGTTAAGTTTTTTTAAGTTATTAATGTAACCTCAGGAGTACCGCAAGGCAGTCATCTCGGTCCAGTGCTTTTCCTTTTGTTTGTTAACGATATCACAAAGTGCTTTTCTCACTGCAAATATCTTCTTTTCGCTGATGATTTGAACTTATTTATGAAAGTTACTGATGTTAACGATACTCTAAAAATTCAGCACGATATAAATTCTTTTTGGGAATGGTGTTGTAAAAATTCCATGAGCCCTAATATAGATAAGCGTAAAACCATTTCATTTACAAAAAGCAGTGTACCAATTGATACTTCATATCATATCAATAATAACGTATTGTCGAAAACCGACACAGTTTTAGACCTTGGTGTTACACTAGATTCTAAATTAAATTTCAGCGTTCACATTGACAATATTTTAAGTAAGAGTTTTCGCTTATGTGGTTTTGTTAAGAGGCATTGCTAAAATTTTAACAATATAATAGTAATTATTAAATTATTTTCTACGTTGGTGAGGCCAGTTCTCGAGTATTGTAGCATAATTTGGAATCCCTTCTATAAAATACATATTGATAGGATCGAAAAAGTTCATAAGAAAATAGTAAACTTTATTTTATTTAAATTGAAGATTAACAAAAATAATTATACGTACTGCGAGAGACTGAAGTTAATTGGTCTTCAATCACTCGAAACACGTCGTCAGTATCAAGCTATAACTTTTGGACACAAAGCTTTACATAGCAAAATTGACTGCCCCAAAAATTGTAAATATGTTTACCTTGAGAGTTCCTTCCTACAATACTCGAATACATGAAATTGTAGCCATCGGTGTTCATCGTACACACTACGGTTATAATTCTCCATTTGTCCGTATTGCTAGGTATATCAACGCTATATCCGAAGATTTAGACCTGTTTCACTGTAGTTCCAAAACCCTTAGACAGTATTTGCTTTCATTGTAGAATGATGTATCCTAAATTATTTTTGCGAAATTTTGTTACGGTATTTTTTTTCCCCTTATAGTATGTAGGTATGTAATTATTTTTATAGATGAATATTTTTTTTATTTCTTTTTGTTATATCTGAATTCTGTCTTTACTAAATTAATTTTTATTTTTGCTCGCATGTATATTAGAAATTGCCTGTTATATACTATGTATTTTGGCAATAAAGGTTATATAATTATTATTATGATTAATTCATCAGGGCATGCCATCACAACGCCACAGATTGATTAATTCATCAGGGCAGGCCAGCACAACTCCACAGATTGATTAATTTATCAAGGCATGCCATCACAACGCTACAGATTTATTAATTCATCAAGGCATGCCCTCACGACGCAACAGATTGATTACATCACCGAGACGCTTTTTCCCTCGGAGCGATGACTGGATATTTTTGTGTTTGTTTATTATGTGTTTTGTTGGGGTAACCAGTTCGCGCTATTTTAAACTCTCAAAGTAAATTGTTTTTTTAAAGTAACCAATCAGTTCATGATATACATAATTTGACATAATGTAAATTCTTTGTTTGAATCATTGCTAAAGTGTGGCAAATATCAATCTCCTGTAAATTTTGTTAACTTGCAATTTTACCACCTCATACTATATTTCTTAACCTCACAATTTTAACCTCAGTAATCGTAGACCACTTCTGTTTTGGTTTTGAACTCATTTGAATGAATCTCGAAGACCCCTTGTGTCTGGTTTTTAAAGTTGTTTGAAAGAATCTCGGGGACACTTTGTGTCTAGTTTTTAAAGTGGTTTAAAAGAGTCTCGGGGAAATTCGTGTCTAGTTTTTGAAGTAATTTGAAAGAATCTCGGATATCCCCTGTGCCTGGATTTTGAAGTAGTTTGAAAGGATCGCGCGGACCCCTTTTGTTTTCTTTTGAATGAAGAATCCCTTGTATTTTATTTTTGAAGTGGTTCAAAAGAATTTCGGAGATCCCTTGTCTTGTTTTTGAAGGAATTAGTAAGAATCTCGGGGACGACTTGTGTTTTGTTTTTGAAGAATGTAGTTGGAAAGAATCTCAAAAACTTCATTGTCTTGTTTTTGAAGTAATTTGAAAGAATCCCGGGAACATTTTGTGTCTAGTTTTTGAAGTAATTTGAAAGAATCTCGGATATTCCCTGTGCCTGGATTTTGAAGTAGTAGATTTTTGAAAAGATCGCGCGGACCCCTTTTGTTTTCTTTTTGAACGAAGAATCCCTTGTATTTTATTTTTGAAGTGGTTCAAAAGAATTTCGGAAGTTCACCGGATAATTGAGTTTTGCTTGAATTAGTTAAATGTTGATAGAATAGTTTTTCGTTGTTTAAAAATTTAGTGTTATGAATTTTTCTGAGATGTGATTATTTGTATCTTTTAAGTCTTTTGCTATATAAGGAAAGCTTTTGTAATAGGGTATCTTTAATTTGGGATAGTGTTGTGTTGTATTCATCGTAATCAGTTGGATGAAAATTATTTTTGATATTTAAAAACCGTAAAATTGAATAGAAAAACTGAAAACCGGGAAATTGAAAAATTGAGAAATTGTAAAATCCAAAAATTGAATAGGAGTAAACTGAGAAATCTCCAAATTAAAATTTTGAAAAACTGAGAATTCGAAAGTTGAAACAGCAAGAAATTATGGTCGAAACCGGTTAGGATGTGTATCAGATCACGAATCATGGCTTATAAATCAAATGGTTTCCGAACGCTTAGAGTCGACATTGGCCTGAGTGCGCTCTGGTCTGTACATCAAACAAGTTCTCAGACGACGAAATATCTTATCCTATGAAAAGAAAACTCAATGTCTTCACTATCTTCATTCCAACTACTTTGGAATTTCTTGTTTTACAAAATCAAGTATGCACTTTTTACGTAACATTGGTTGCAAACTCCTATCGCGTCATATGGCATGAGGAGTTTTCCAAAATAAAACCATTTTGCCTAATAGTAGAAAATCTTTACAGCGAAAAATTTAGAAAATATCTAGTATAATAATATAAACAAATAAAAAAATACAACATAGACGATGAATTTTTTATTTCCCGAAAATTGCTAATTTCAAATTTTTAGCGACGATTTTTAATATGTGAAAAAACCATTTTAGATACCCATTCTCAAAATTTTAACCACCTAACGATCTTTAAAAATAAAAGTAAGAATTTATTGGACCATTTGTCTATGAGCACTCAACGACGAAAAAAAAAACATGACAAGTAAATGTGACAAAAACGACAACATTACGATAAATTTTGAACAATTTACAACTCCTTACTCTTCTAGACTTAAATCTAACGGGATAGATTGTAGAAATCTAGCAAATTAGTTCTACCAGCCTGGTACCTCAACAGCACAGGGGGTTTACTGTTCAGTTTACCCACACCTGATTCCACCGACAGAACCTCCTGAACAACCTGGGTTAGACCTGTATCAAAATTCTCAAAAAATTCTCTACTCACTTTTTGTCAAATCTAACGGCCCTGCGCCTGCCATCTTGGAAGGCACTGTCTTGAACACAGAGTCATTGTACTGGAAGAACATCCCACCAAAATTAAATGAGCTGTCATTTTCGGTCGGTTTATTGACTATACAAAAAACAAAATATTTTGGCAGAGGCACCAAACTCATAAGGTCTCTGTGAATCATATTCTCCTGTTGAGTTATCCTGATGCCACGGAATGATCTGCATCGATACCAGCCAACTGTGACTGGAAGCAAATTTCCCAGCAAATTCTTCACTAATTCAGGAATGACTCTCCCATATCTGTCGTAGAAAGGTTGATGGTTCAACGACTTCAAGAACGTTTTAATTTCTAGAGTTTTGCAACGGGTGTATGGTCTTTCAACCTCATCACTAATCGGTACCTCTTGTAGTCCTTTCAATTCACCTATCAAGAAACCTTCCTAAAAAAGACACGAATAAATAATTTTCAAAGAATGATGGTATTTACCTTGGTGTTTTCCTCTGTTCGGTTGACTGAAGCTATCAACGGGGCGATGGACACCGACCAATTGTCATCTATATAGTCTTCCGTTGTGGCACTACTTGTAGACTGTGTCATTTTAGTTTTATTTACTGAACTCGATCTATTCGTGGCAAATTAATAAAATTCGTGGTGAAATTTTACAAAGGGGGTGAAATTTTACAAAGGACACCTCACGATTTCGCACAAACTGTTTGCGCAAAAACTCTTCTACATCACCCCCTGATCACGTTCCTTACCTTCAAAAGTTGTGGAAATGCTTCCTTGTGTCAGAAAAAAATATTTAGTGTTCGCCCTATGGTTTGCAGTTTTGCACCCTATTAGTTACGCCACAGTATAGAAATCAATCAGTAGAGACAACTCGTGTCGGTGCCTTTGATCTTTCTGACCCGAATTTTAAGCCGTCACCGGTGGTCGTTGCCCAAAATATTTCTAGATGTCGCCACCCAATTGACCAGTAAAGTAAGGTTAGAATTTAGAATGCGCGGCAGTTCATAATTCAAAAATTCTACTATGGGTTTCTTATGGGAGCTTGATTTTACAGACAAAATACGCCGCATAGGTAGAAATCTTAACTAGTTCATGCTACAAGCGATAAAGACTGTACAATTATCTTCCTGTTACTAAACGTTTAACTATATAAAAAGCTTCTGTTAAAGATATATTGCAAATTAAAAACAACGCTATCCATCGAAGTAACGTACATCGTTTCTAACGTCTTGCGCATGAGTGAAACGGAAAATCCAGAAACACTTGGGAAAGAAAAAGAACGCGAATATTTTGCGGTACTAGTGACGTTTGGTTCGTGAAAATCCCCAAAATATGACAGTTGATTTCGTATTTTCATCACAACAAACAATCATAATCACAATTTTTGGATGATATATTAGTTCTGTGATATTGATTCACATTGGGTTGTATGTATCTGTGGACTGGTTTTTTTTGTATTTGTTATTAATAATGACAGAAAGACATGTGTAAACAATAGGGGCAATTGCCATTTTTTTTTGTTGGAGAAAATTCTTTACAGTCAAATAATGTAGCGAAAGTCAATTGGTATACTGAATTAAATGTGCTTGAAGAGTTTATTCGAGCTAGAATGCGAGAAGATTATGGTAAGTTAATGTATATTGATAAATTCTGTGTCAAGTAAAATTATGACGTATTTTGTTTTATTATGCATAGATATTCCTTAAGAGAGGCAACATGTGAAACCCCAAGAGGTGCATTTGTATATCATCATATGGCTACACCTGCCCTACACGGACGTTATAATGTATTGTGGACCAATAATTTGCGTGCTTGAGACGTACATCTGAAGAAAAGTGAATCAGCTGAGGTCCGAGCTGTTGTCTATGAAAATTCTTTTAATCCCCAAGTCAGCCTAAAAACAGCTAATGTTGAGGTACAACTTCATGGAAGCTTAGGACAAACTGATAGGAGCGAAGCACTGCTTTTGCTATTGGGCCCTGAACTAGAAAGATCTGAAGAAAATCTACTTCACAGTGTCGAAGAACTATTAATGTCCGAGGACTATTTTAATGGCCCATCAAGAAAACAGTTTGTGGGTCAGTTTTTCACCAAAAGTGAATCAGATTTTGCATTAGGAAGTGCAATTTTTTATTGTAAAATACTTTTTTTTTGTTTTGAAATAAATTGTTCTTTAAATTGTGATTTTTTTTTTAATGGGTGTTTCAGACCCAATTCGTACTAAAATGAGAGTGATTTTTACTTGTACATGAAAGGTTTAATCAGGAATGCTAAGTTTTTCCTTTTCTGGCAAAAATGTGTGAAAAGAAAAAAGCTTGGGATTGATGATGATTCTTAAATCAAAATTTGGCAATTGATTGAAAACATTTGCAAATATGAGATCTCCTTTATGTATTATTTTAAATTCACAGCCGTATCTGTAGCATCTGAAAATCAAAGCCATTTATGTGGAGGGGGAAGTCAATGGCAGTATGAACCACTGTACGACATACGTTCGAGGCAAATGTAGTGGTAAAAGTTGAATTTAAATATTTATTAAATACTACCGGTTCCGTTCATGTTTGGTATCAAGATCAACAGTAAAAATATCAGTCTTAATGGTACAGGTAGTGGGATATATAAGAAAATTACTTTAATGGTACAATTTAAGCGTTAAAGTGACGCCTCGATTTCACCCATAAGGATTACACGGGGAACTGAAATACGGGTCTCGTGTTATGAACTGAGTTCAAATTTCGCGCGTCATTCACTTTACTGGTCAATTTAAAAAGGATCACAAACGCTTCATTTTAAAATTGATTCGTGTACACAATTTACTACACTTTGTGCAAATGAATTTTTGGAAAAGACTTAAAAATAGTGTAATAACAATAACATTTTGTAACTAGCTGATCTTAGAAACCACACAGTCTATTATAATAAATTTGAAAGGCCGTGTTGAAATTTAGATGTGGCCCGCTTCTCTGATTACGATTTTACGTTTCATTAATTTCTTTTTCATGATGGCTGTAAATGGTTGTAAAATTCAACGTTATTAGTAAACGCTAATATATGTACATTTAATTTTTTTACAAAAAAATTAAACAGTAAACAATGGTCCTATGAAAACGTGAACAACGCTTTTTAAAATGTCTCTGTGAAAATTACACTTAACTGCAATAATTACTGCCCATTCACAATGGACATAAGGCATAACAAGTACATAAAGCTTACATAAATACATAAAGTTGAAACGATGGAAAACGTGTACCCCTGTTCACAGTGGACGAACGTAATTTTTATGCTAATGAACGTTTTATGTGATCCTTGTGTGCGTACACAAAGTTGAAATAAGTTCAACTTTGTGCACGAATTATGTCAAAATTATGTTAAAATCTAGGGACTTTTGAATGCTGCTATTGAATTCCCTTTGACAGTTGGCACTTGGCACTTCACACCTTTGATTATATTATATAAATTATAATCAAAGCTTCACACTGCGAGTTTGTTCTGTACTGCGAGTTGTCAAGTTCGAATATCGTATGAAATTGTAGGTTAGATATTTTGATTGACTCAGTTTGAGGTTAGCCGTTTCTATCTTTAGCCAGGAGTTATTCCGTTCTGCGTTTGCGCAGTTTAACAATTCTTACAGAGTTCACTCTGTCCACTGCAGAGACTTTAATACTTTGTATTTAAAGTCTCTGGTCCACTGTGAACGTAGATAAGCATAAGCCAGACAGAAACCAAAAACGTAAATTATGTTATGCGCTGGTTCTTATGTCTTATGTCCATTGTGAATGGGCAGTTACACCCGAAGATCAGCCTTAAATCATCATCAAAACCGATGCAACTAAACTGCCAAATTCCAAATATTTCACATTAAAGTCACTAGATAACCAAAGTACCGCACTTCAATGTCCCAATGTGTAAGAAAGAGAAGTACCTTGCGTTGCGCGCCCTCATACGGTCACAAGACAAACGACCACCCATGAAAACGAGTCAGTAAAAATAGCGAGTTGTCTCTACTGATTGATATCTATACTGTGGTTACGCCACATGTAGGCACAGCATAGACATCAATCAGTAGAGACAGCTCGTGTCGGCGCCTTTGTTCTTTCTGACCCGAATTTTAAGCCGTCGTGGATGGTCGTTGCCGAAACTATTCCTAGATGTCGCCACCCAATTTAAAAAGTATCACTTCATTTACAATTTAACATAATTGGTATGGGTCGACGCAGGTAAGAATAATTAAGGAATTCATGAAACCGGAAGTCCATAGGGATTAAGCGAAAAAAGATATTTGACAAAATGTACGGCTTGGGTCATTTTTACCCACGTGCGACTGCTTATGGGTTAAGCAACGTCTCGAAAAAAAACTCAAGATTGTGTAGGTCAAAATATATATATATATATATATATACATGATGAATAAAAAAATTGTTTATTGAGTGAAGGTCCGCTTATACATATAATTTTTTGTTACGTGTAGTTTGTTTCTTATTATTTTTATATTTAATTTTACCACAACAACGGAATCATATATAATAATTTTTTTATATTTATTTCATAACCACCGTTGTTGTTCGTTTGCGACGACTTTTTGAACAAAAAGTGTGTTATGTTTACTATCCTTTCCAAGAATTCCAAACACGAGGGAGAGAATAAGGCGCACAACAGGGATCCTGTATGAAAATTCATCGGACAAAGATTTTACCTTTTATTGTGAAAATTTTATTTTTATACTATTTGTACAATTCTACTGGAAAAGCAGTCTTAAACAAGCAAAACCGGCAAAAATATTGTAACAAAACTGCCAAATTTCAAATATCTTAGACGTCAGTTGGGCGCCCTCATTCGGTCATAATGCGAACGACCACCCACGAAAACGGGTCACGAAAAACGGCGAGCCGTCTCTACTGATTGATATCTATGCTGTGATGTAGGCAACGTATGTAGGCAACCAACTACACACATTGATGAACTCGCACGAATACCAATAACTAAAGGATCCACGGAGCATAGACAAACCAACAAAGAAGCTTTGTTGGTTTGTCTCTGCCCTAGCCTTAGGTCGAGTGATCTTCCAATTTTTTACCTGCTGTACTTTCCCACCTTAACCACTACTAACCCATAGGGTGGCATCCACTGATTACCTAAACGCTCCACACGTGATTGCCCACGTTTGAATGATTTTTCTTATTTTTAAATTTTCAAATGCGCTGTGGCGGCGTTCTTTTATCAGCGCGAAATTTAAATGTCAAGATTAATACCACAATATCTCAGACAAATTTTTAGCAAAATGTTAAAGTTGCACAAATTTGTTCTAATTAGGCCCCTTGGTTTTTGTCAGAATAATTTTTTCGATACCACTCTAATAAATGAAACGACCATTCAAGTAGGTACTTTAGGTATGCAACCGATTATACAAACAATGGAATCGAGAGTAAATAGTAATCTAGGATCACAGTTTGCCAGTATAAAGCTTCGAATGTTTTTATTTTGGAAACACATAATTGAGAAAAACACTGTTTGTTGTAAAAAAGTACTTTAATATTCAATATGTAAATACAGACGTTATTGATCTTCCTTGAGCACATGTTTCTCCCTTGCTGGCTGATGTGGAACTTCACCAGGTTTAGAGTGCGCCTTACGATTAGCGTCCTTCCTCTTCCTTTTATCGCTAATAGTGCGCAATTCTTTTTGCGCGTTATATACATGTTTAGGCACGTGCCTGTGCCTAGCAATCCGTCGTATTTTTGGATGTGCAGCATATTTTTCTTTCAGAGCTTCACTATAGCGGCTTTTTCACGTGGTTTTAACTGAAATTAAACAATCTATTCATAACAACAATAATAATAATAATTAATCTTACCGGTCCCAGCTTCTCAGAAGCGCGAGCCTTCCAAATTCTAATATTCATTTCATC